GCAGGGTATCCAAATGTCCTAGAGGGTCTACGCGGACTCGGGTTCCCGCTCAGACGGACTGCCAGGCCTACGCGGACACAACATCCCGCCCATGCGAATTGAATTGGGACGAACACATTAGGTTCGCGAAACCAGACGAAAGTGATTCAGAAAGGTTGGACGACTGAATCTGCATTGTCGAGGAACAAACTCACTCGCTCGACGAAGGTAAAGCTTGTTACCAGCAACTGGGGCAGTGGGAGTTTGATCTGCAGCCGCGGTTCAGTTTGCAAAATTTCCGGTTGAAAATCGAGTGCATTATGTGATGTGAAATGGACTGGTTTTGCAAGCTGAGAAACCGAGCGCGTCATCCAGGCTGATCTCGAATTTTGACGCGGTTACCCTACAAAAAAGGGTTACTGTCTTCGTACTGACCTGAGCTGTGACGAGCTGGACCCGCCCTAAATCCGACCAGAGAATGATCTTTCCTCTGCCTTTTGTTATCCGCGTCCTCTCCCTTCGTTATCTCTCCCTTCACCTACCTGCCCTTTTCTGACAGATCACAGGAGGTTCAAGGATCAACGAATTGCGGGAGTTCCAATGTGTGCAGAGAGGTGGAGGTGTAGGAAAGTCGGTGAGGCTTGACTTCACCTCATTGAAAAGATTCAGGTGGCAGCTGGGTGAAGAGGGACCGTTGAGATGTGATGTGAAGCACAGTTTTCGGAGTCTCGGTACAGTATATAGCTAACTAAGCAGGTTACCAACGTATGCGAAAATCGCTAAACAAATTCGGCCGTGCTGCTTGTACCGTAGTACCGTATCTATATCACGATACTTTATGCTTTATCACTCAAAACGTTTGATTGACTCTGACACTCTTAATGACACAATGATACTTTCTTGCTATAATGTGGGCTCACAAGCAAAACTTATGCGACTTTGATGGAATCTCCTCAGTGATAACACAATGAAACACTTTCATGATTGCTATTATTTGGCCCACCATCTCTACGCTTTTTCCTAAACGCATCTGGTCTGGTGGAAGCATAAATCCCTTGAAAGGGTATTCTGTACACTGTTCCATCCACCAACATCTATAGCAGCATATTGAACAGCAGCTGCACCCAGGTATAGGGTTGGAAACACTTGGCCCCCAACACACTGGCCGAGGTACCATACCAGCAGTTCCACCAGCTGACACACATTACAAGCCGCCTCAAAAGTGTTACACCCTAAGCCGGTGAGCAGCAGCAGCAGCCCCAGCCGCAGGTTGAAGATCATATGCACCCAAGCATTGACCGGCCCTGTGTGGCAGTAGTGCAAGCAGTCAGTTACCACCAACCCTCATGCCCTTTCAGGCACCTCAGAAGTGTTACACTCGTAGCATCTCAGCTGTTTGGCAGCAGCAGTCCCAGCAGCATATTAATCAGCAGCTGCACCCACATATTGACTGGCCCGGCAGCAGTGCAGGCAGTCAGCGTCCCACAGCCAACACGCCAAGTGCTTTATAATTCTGAAACTCTCAGCATCTCAGCCGGTGGGCACGAGCAGTCCCAGCAGCATGTTAAACAGCAGCTGCACCCACGTGTCCACGGGGCCCGGGTGGCAATAATGGAGGCAGTCTTTCCTATCCATATGCCCATCGGGCCGCCACACCGCCGACGCATTCACATCCATGTACACCCCTCCCACGCCCTCCGCCAGCCATTTTACAATCCTATTCTGCTCCGTAAACTTGTTCCAGTGCCAGCATTTGCCATCCGGAAGGTCTAGAAGCTTCTCAGAAAGCGGCTTATCGTGCAACGAGCAGTTGAGATGTCCTGGAGGAGTGTTTCGGACGATCATGAGCATGTCAGGGTGGGCGTTTCGGAGCGCCAACAGTGTAGGCCGCAACTGCCGCTCAAACCTGAGGTTGTGACGGTAGTGTGCTCCTCGGTTCAAGACCAGTATCGACACGTTCATCGGCACAATCTCATTCATCCAAGTCTCCTTGAAGCTCCTATCCACCAGGAAATCGTTAACATCTTCTGCGGAGTTGAGATAATAATCCCGGATGAACGAAATCCGGACGGAAAAGCCGAGGTCTGCACAGGCATGGACAGTCCAGCAGCACTTGTTGTTTGCAAGCTTTACAAGCTCCGTGGCGATTCGGTACCGCTGGCAGTAGCCCGTCGGCTCTTCCCATTGGACCCGGGACTCCTGCTTCTTCGCGCCTACCCTTAGGTTGTACCTGATAGCCTCGGCTAGAAGCATGTTCATTGAGTCACCCACTACCAGCATGTGTCTCTTATCCAGAATTTTGCAGAACTTTTCCGGGGAGAAGCGCTCCCAAGGCCCACCGCATCTGCTGCTGCTGCTGCTGCTGCTGCTGCTGCTGCTGCTGCTGCTGCTGCTGCTGCTGCTGCTGCTGCTGCTGCTGCTGCTGCTGCTGCTGCTGCTGCTGCTGCTGCTGCTGCTGCTGCTGCTCATGCTGCTGCTGCGAGCTTCTGACCCATCCTGCGGCTCTGCATCAGTTTCCGGAACCACCCAGCGATACTTGAGAGTCTCTCTTACGGCCCACTGACGCCTAAGAATATCATCCCATCTCTCCAGTTTCTTCAACTTGTCGATCTGCTGCTGAGAAACCTCCTTTCCTCTCCGAGTAATCTCCTCGATTTGAGTCACAACCTTCGTAAACCGTCCCACCAGATGATCCGCGTTTTGAAACGCCACGTTGCGAGAGCTCCTATTCAGATGGCGCTCTTCGCATTTGCTCATCTCGTCCGGCCATGGCAGCAGCCGCGGCGAGTCATCTAAGGACCACTTGCCCTCCCGCCCTATGCAATCATTTTTTTCTCGGAAAGATCGGATTTTCTCAGGGGAATCGAGCACGGAGCCTGGGATTCGGGTCCAGAGGCTTAGGTCGGGCTTGGAGAGGAGGGTTAGTAGGAGGCATGGTGGGAGTTTCGGTAGGAGGTTTGGTAGGATGTTCGGTAGGAAATTCGGTAGCAGGTTCGGTAGGAGGTTTGGAGGGAGACTCGGTTGGCGGTCTGGTAGGAGGTTCGATAAGAGGTTTGGTGGGAGGTTCGGTACGTGTGTCGGGACTAGGATTGATAGGAGGGCCGGTTGGTGGTTTGGTGGGAGAATCTGAAGGAGAGTTGGTGGGAGGGTCGGTAGGAGGTATGGTTTGAGGTTTGGTGGGATGTTTGGTTGGAGGTCCGGTGGGAGGTTTGGAAGCAGGTTTGGTAGGAGGTTCGGTAGGAGGATCAGTTGGAGGTTTGGCGGGAGGGGGAGATACGGATGAAGTGACACCTGAGTCTGCTGAGGAAGATGATTGTTCTGACGCATCAATTAACGTTGACGTTGACGATGATCCGTCAGGCGCCTCAATTAGCATTGACGTTGACAACAGAATGTTAGGCGCATCAGAAACTGCTGAGTCTGAGGAAGTGAGATCTGATGGGAGAGCTTTCGTGCCGCTCACAGGCGAAGGGTCTGATGGGACTGGAACGGAGGAGGTGGAATCGGCGAAGTTGGAGGCTATATTCCGAATTGGAAGAAAGAAAATGCAGTATGTGTGCAGTCCAGTGAGAGCGAACGAAAGAGCGAGAGAGACTGCAATGCGGGCGTGTTCAGTCGATACTTTCTCGGCTTGTCATTTTTTTTGGTTTGCCGTCGAGCCTTCATCTGGTCCTAGAGCTGTAGTGGCTACCATGGTCCGTAGCTGGCGTATATTCGAAGTGTCGTTGCACCGTCGCGTGACGTAGTTGGCGTATATTCATCCCAAAAAAATCCGCTTGAGCTACAATGTAGGCACACCGTAGCTGCATGCGAGATGCGATGCACCCACAACATCGCGGAAAAGCCAAGGGCCAGAAGTTACGAAAATGTGACATTTCCGTCACATTTTCGTATACGGTTTTTTGGGGTAAAAAGGTGATGGATGAAAGTACCGAACCCACCGTCACTTCCAATGTGATCACTTCCAATGTGACGGTGATGTCACGGAAATGTCACGTAAAAGCTTCTCACGCGTCCCAGCCACCGTCACTGCTCAGTCACATTCAAGTCACGCACCGTTCACCACGGGAACTACTCGGTGGGGTAAATAACAAATGCCACAATTAGACGCAATCTTACGACAACCATACACGTGGCGACCATGACGTCAGCGTGACATACCGTCGGTTACAGTACTTGTACACTACAAAGCGACTCGAATCATGGTCCTGTCCAACCAACTGCCTTCACGTGGATGACCACGATCAACCTGGAATTGCATCCACCCCCTTAGTTGTCGTCCGATGTGACCAATGCCCCAGCGCCATCCCATGATTTCCCCATATCCCCATTGGTCGAAGTTTGGCACAGCATGTCGCCATCCCACCACGTGGATTCGTCGGATGCCGTTGAATTGGGTACCAGGTGTACGGCTGTAACTAAGTCTGGATCTATACATGTGTAAGCTACCTGTGCATCCGATCGTACACGTACACACGCATCGACGATATGTCGCGGTCTCGATCGCCAGCAGTATCTCACCATTGTTGACGTGTGATTACTCCCGTCCGTAAATGAAGGCCCACGTGGCCAAAGTACACGTTACACGGCGCCAACAAAGCTGGCCCATATGTCCCGCCCTCGACCGTCTACCACACCAACATCCAACGGTACACATGCCTGCCGGCACACATCCGAGGCGCATTACGCGGTTGTGACCATTTCTCGCCGTGCGCATCAAGTGTCTGCCTCATTAAAAAATCTGCAGTCTGGTTGACTGGTTATCTTCCCCGCATACTAATGAACACGTATACGATAAATCTTCCAGGCTCTCTTGTTCCGTCTAAACAGATACGCACACAAACATTACGACGCTACTGTGCGAGTCCGAAGCCGGGCCACACCTCCTTGGCAATGGCCGCCTCACTATGCCCACCGTCGTTCCCTTACTCCGCCACAACACATGCATTATAGGTATGGTTTATCCACAATTCTTCGCACTGGCATACGATGGCACGCATCTCCTCCTGTTGTTCCCCTGATTAGGCCTGCGGAGTACCGCGTCTGACGCTTGCCTCTGCGGTCACTGCTTCGACGGCGGCGATGCCGTCGGCCGAGATGCGGAGACCATGGCGTCCCCACTCCCAGCTCTGGGACGCCTCGTCATATGCTGGTCGGAAATCCGCGATGGCGGCCCTAACAGCAGCCTTGACAAGGACGTGGAGGCCGTCCACTATCTGCGCGTTGGTGCTCGCGGATTGGGTTGGCGAAGCGACCCTGGCGCTCCTCCCAGTGATTGACCGCATCTGTCACCTGCGCACGGCAAACCACATACACGCGCACGTGAGGACACTCGCCCATGTATTGTCGGTAGTCTAAATGACCACGGTGTTTGCGTACCACGTGCTCCAGCCATGCCACGTGGTAGAGCTTCAGTGTCACAGTCCCGTTGACCATCCTTGGCTTGAACACCGCACGCGCGCAAGCCGTAAACGCCCCAGACGCGAAAGGCATCCCTTCACGGGAGCAACTCCAGCTAGACAGCCGCAGCTTTCCTGCCACGTAACGCATAAACAAAGCGCGCATTAGATGACGGTTATCTATGCATATGTAAATCACTCCCTAATTCCCTTTCTGTTGTACCACCCCTTACCCGCCGGAACGTCGCCAAGGCCGACCCTATCTCGGATCCGGGAGAGGGTGCGCCTCGCCTTGGTCGCCCATGGACTCTTCATGTCTCGTTCGTGGCGAAAAAGTCCAATCTTCGGCAGCCCGATGTCTCGGACTCTCCCTGCCGCCGCTGTCTTCCAGTCGCTGCACGACCTGTTCAGGTCGACCCGACGTGCCTTGCACGCCGCGAGAGCCACGCTTGCATAGCTTTCCGTCAGGTTATCCACGACTGCACAGATGGCCCAAGTTTTGGCGGCTCTGCTTGGGTAGAACGTCAGCTGTGCGTTGGAGCGCCGAACGAACAGCTCGGTGCGCGCCTGCTCACATAATTCCTGCCATGTGAGCCCATACATTACGTCAGCAACCGCCACACACGGTCCCCTCTGTATACGGCACACTCTCCCACACATGTTACCTTCCAGCCTTTGTCGGTCGGGAGTAGGTCAAGCGCCTCCTGCATAATGGCAGATGGGAAGTGACGAAGGTGGCCCTCGTCCTCGTCGTCGAACCCCCCCTCCTCATCGGACGCCGTCTCTGACGTGGAGCGTGCCCGCCGCGCCTTCCGGCGCCTTTCCTTGCCGGAGCCGCGCTTGCGCCTCCTCTTCTTAGCACTGCCGTCTTCTTTGGGCTTCGCAATGAACGCCGTCTCCAACCTTGCAATCGCACGTGCCGTCTCCTCATGGAGCTCCCTCATGCTCTGCAGCTCCTCACGAGTGACCGGTGCGTCATTGGGATCACGCCTCGCGCCGGCGTCATCCTCTTCTGCGTCGGCATCAGCATTGTTCTCCGCTTCCGCACCATCCTCGTCTTGAGCGTGGACTGGGTTACGTCTGGGGAGAGCGACGTCTGGATCGTCGTCCGATGATGGCGCCGGAGTTGCGTCAGGTTCCCCGTCCACTCGTGCAGAGCCCTCGACCACTTCTTGAACAGGACGTTTGCGCCTGCAACCAGCCTTTCCGCTGGAAGCAGCTGTTCCGTCAACCTGTCGGCTTGACTGTGCAGATGAGGAACTACCTTCCGAAGTGCTCCCATGCGACATACGCGAGTCCGCCCGAGTCCCATGAGACGGTGGCACGGCTGCATCTCACACCAGTAAACAAACAACGGAGTTCAGTGACAAGCAGAAAGCACATACGTGCATGCTGCGGATAATCGAAAAAGGCCGGGAAACAACAGTCGAAGCGGCAAACACATATGCAGTGCGTCTGGGGTTGGGTACTCACGTGGCGGCGAGGGAGGACCCCTGGCTTGCTGCTCGTTGGCATGCTTCGAAACATCCACGCAAGGCTTCTTCGTCACCTTACGCCTAACGTTCCGAGGCAGAAGGTAAGAGTTCCGTAGGTAGGCAGGTGGCTGTGACACGCGCTGACTCCTCCCCTCACGTGACGACACGGTGAAACTGTCCATTGTGTACGAAATTTGTGTGCAGGAATGAGCTTGGCGGACACATTGTCCACTACTTACGCATTCTGAGTCCACGCCAATCGTGCGACTGTGCGTTACCCCCACATTACACGTGGCCATCAATTGTCGGACAGGCTGCGGTCGTCCTCTGGCTGGTTTTGCCCACATGGCTCAACCCTTATGCAAAGTTATCCACATATCGCGTTATAGAGTCACGCCAATCGTACAAATGCAACACATTGTGTCAAGCTCGTAAAAGTCATCCGCGACTGTGTACTCAGACAATGGATAATTTTCATTATGCGCCAGCCTGCTTGACACACACTGTGCGACATCAGCGCATAGTTGACTCCTCACAACAGGAGACAGTACTACAGCTAGCATCACAAGACACACATAGTACGAGGCTTCCTATACAGGTCCAACATCAGTAAGTCTGCCTCAAGCACAGCTAGCAGCCTCGTCCAGTTTATGTGCCAGTTCCAGTTCATGCCTCCATGCCACTACATATACGTACTCCATGTCCGTTGCGCCTAAACGCACACCGTCTCAACACCATGACCCATCCTGACTTGCACGTCTTCATCGCTGCTGCTGTTGTCCGGCGACCGCGTGCCACTGTTTTCCAGTGGGAATGGAGTACCAGGCTCGATGCCCAGCTCTGCCAGCGCTGTCCTCCACTGACGCCACCTCCACCACATCCGTGCCTTGACCAGATGACGCACGTCGTCGCGAACACACCCCTCCAGGCACTCCTTCTCCTCGTCCGTCAGCTCCTTCACGTGCTGGATGTGGTCATTACGCCTGATTACAAAGGCTGCCGCGGCATACGCATACGCCGCATCGAGCTCCACAGTATAGGCGCCCAGCCGAATCTGCTGACCTGTGCCTGGGCCGCACACCATCTTGACACCCCACTTTCGGCCGCGTGCGCACCAACTCACACCTGTCCAGCGGCTCGATGCAGGCCGCCCACCGTACACGGTAAGCATGCTGGTCTGACGCACGGGCCGTCCTGCAGTCCTGATCCCCGGACGGAGGCGATACCTGGCAGAGCGCGAGACCATCGGCTGTGGTGCCGGAGTCATTGGAGCGGCTGGGAGATCCTGCTTCTCCTTCTTGGGCCTGACATCCGCAGGTGTGGGCTCACCATTACTGGGTGACGCCCCTTCGAAATGCGCAGACGGGACCGATGGCTGCGGAAGCGGACATGGAGCCGGATGGATGGACATGCCGAGCGTCCGCATAGATGCTGCGTGCTCCACGGGGTTCTTGGACGTGGACAGAGCCAGCAGAGGCGTCCCGTGTGCCTGAAGCTCGTGTGCCGCTCCACTCAGCAGTTGTTCCTCCGAAATGCCTAGCGAACGTGCCAGGACCATGACAGCCGCACACACAACGTAACCCCCTATCTCCATACGGGCTATCATGCCTGACTGCCTCGCGAGGTCCGTGCGGACTTCGTCCTCCTTGGGAAAGACGAGGGCGCCGTGTTCTCCCACCTGGGGAAGAGGCTGCACGGGAACCTCCACACCCTCCCCAAACAGCTTCTAAATAAGGTCACCTGTGGCGTGGAGGGACACCTCTTCGCGGAGCTGGCGCCGGTGTGCGTGTGACTTCGCGCCGTAGAACGTCATGAACTGTTTGAGGATTGAAAAGCCGGATGAAACCAGGGCGCGAAGATACATGCCGACATAAATCCCACAGTCTACCGCGTTCGACTGCTGTGGGTGGTCTTCCGGCTGCCAGGAAACACATAACATGAGAAGGCACACGTCAATTGACCGACGCGCCAGACAGTGCCCGCGACATGGATGCGACATGAAGTGCACTCACATGCATTACGTAGACTTCGGCATACTTCACATGGTCCTCCGCCTGCTTCCGGTCGGCAGTGGGCAGCTGAGCTTTGTGAAGAAGGAGCAGCATGCTGCAAATGACGCACGTTACCAGTGTTCGTTATATATCGCATCACCGGAATTTATCATGATTGGTCAGGGCACAAATATAAGATTCACCGCTCACCTCTTGACGCCCTCCATCACTTCTGGCTTATTAGTGTGCAACTGTGCACTATCGTAATGCACCAGCTCGACGCCGCCCTCGGCAGTCTCGGATAGCTTCCCGCTGACCATGGTGCGGAGGTTCGTCGCTATGACCAGCGAGTAGTGGCCCCTGACACATGTACGCATGCTGTATGTTAGGGAACGTGTTTCGACTTCGACTGATATGGAACGCGGCAACTAACAATAGCATGATCTCTTGGAGGTATACGCCTTACTCGTAGTACACTGGGATGGCGAGGTAGTCCTGTGCGAAAATACACGGCGCATGTCCAAGGGGCCATGCCCTGTTCAGGTCTTTCGCGAACGTAAACGCCTTCGTGTCCAGAGCAAACCATGTTTTGCCACCTTCCAGCTTCGGGTACCTTATGTTAAGTAGTCTGTAACACACATATGCAAGATATAGTTCGTCAGTATATATATGAAGACAGGACATACAGCATGTATAAGGCCCACCGTTCCCCGGCGCTTACATGTTGTGGAAGTCCACCACTGTGTCCGCCAGACACTGTCCGTCGGCGAGCGTCAGGACGTCCTGTGCTGGCAGTTGACACCCCACTCCATGGGGTCCGTAAAGCGCCAACGGCTGGAAATCGCGCTGATAGCTGGGCCTTTGAAGACAGGCAATCACATCGTCGCTTGGCGGAGGCGGCACCTCGTCTGCGCCCCTCACACCGCTGCCCGCCGATGTCACCTTACGGGGGCGGGGCAACTCCTGCTTCCCCTTGCGCTTACGGCGATCCTGCTCCGTAGACAGAGTGGTCAGGGCACTGACCGCGCAGGACACGCTGTCCCGCTGCACAAGCATGCGTTGGATGTTTATGGTGGGCACTAAGTAGACTCAGACGCGTACTGTGGTGGTAGCCAGTAATACATGTACAGGGATTCTAGCGTCCAAAACCGTGTCTGCAGTAATGGCCGCTCATCGGAAGAATATATTAGGCAGAACACAAAGAAGCTTTGCGGAGTCGGTTGATGTTCAGAGACCTACAGACTGGAACAAGGAACCCCAGGATAACCATAGCGCGCCAAAACCATAGCGCGCCAGATCCAGCTGTGTCGGGCTAGGCGCCGAAAGGTGAATATGCATGACGGGCACACGTGTCATGATTTCGCAGTATGCATGAAGTCCTCGGTGGGGAATTGGGGTGTACTTTGCATGTGGCTGCGAGGTTGCAAGAGTGGTTGGGTGTGATTCGTACTCGCTAATGTTCGGTTTTCACTAAACATTCAGTTTTACTCTCGTTACGAATAAAACTTTCCACAAACATGCCCCACTCGCGGGAAGCATGGACTACCACCACGTGGCGTTGGTCCGTTTCGCACATCCGAGGTGGCAAGCAAACCCTATCTACATGCTCTCGATTTACACTGTTTCGCAAGAACATAATAGACATGACATCCAATACCATAGTTGCTCTGATGCATATGACACCCCGTAGCACGTCACTCTCCAGCGGACGTCACAGACGGCCGTTGACACTCCTACAAACCAGACTCTAAACCCCCCCTCACCATTACTCCGAGATCAGCTGGCCTCAATCCGTGGTCGCTGCACATCAGATAACAGTTACAGTTGAGGGACGGGGATGCTTGGTTGGCGTCCGACGCAGACGACTGAAGACCAGATCGTTCGACGCGCCAAACCGCTCGGGCGCGTCCCGCACATCAATGCCGAGCTTTAGTGCCTGACGGACAAGGTATTCAGTGACGACGCGCGCCACCCGCCTGCGACAACGATGGTCATTCAGTAGCGGCCCTGGCTGCGTGTGCAGTGCTATCTCGCGGCCGTCTTCGGCGCGTGGGCTGTCGTTCATTGTGCGCTGCACGCGTGGCGGGAGAATGGTCAGCTCGCAGTGCGCATAATCAGTGGCATGCATGAGCGTGTGGCCTGGCCGTGCGAACTCGTCAATGATGTACTGCAGCTGTCCCAGTTCCTGAACAAGCGGTTCGGACAGGACACAGAGAACGGGGTTTTTGAACTCTCTCACAGACGACCGCCATGATGCCGGCACACAGCCGGCGCGCCACCAGCTGAGATGGTCCGAAACCGGAGTCAAGTCCCTCCACCTTGTACCCATCCAGTCCACCATGATGGACAGGGGAGGGGCGTATCGGAACAATGCCCCGTCGCGCCATGCTTGTGTCATCATCAAATGGCGAAGGTATGAGGCACGGTACAGCGTCTTCCACAGCTCTACCACCACGCACACGCCGGGATGGATGCACCCAGGCGCTTTAGGACCCTGCATGTGGATGATTCGGAGGTTGCTCAGGTTCTGAACGCGGAAACCGAACTCCGTCGTTTCCATAACAGCTGGATCCGTTGACGAGTGGGCGTCCGAAGTCACGAGTACGATTACATGGTCGTCCGTGGAGTACGACCGTCCGTTCAACGCTTCCAGGTACTCGCTGAATATCTGACAAGAGAAGCACGCAATGACGGGGCAGTCGTGTTAGCATATGGGATTGCATGATTATAATGCAACGGCATTCCACAAACTAGGCCGGGTATGAGCAGACGACCTCGCACCTCGGGCGTGACGAACCCGTCCACGCTGTGACGCACGAACACGGTAAAATCCTGGGGTATTTCAAGGCCTTGTGCCCGCGCGTCGTCAGCGCGGAATATCAGAAGAGGCGGACACATGATTGTCCCCGTTGCATTGAACAGGAAGCAGACATTGATGCGCCAGCCGGGCAGCAGATCATCGTGTCCATTCTCGGAGTGAAGGAAGGGGAGCCTGGTGGGTAAGAGAGGCTCCTCAACGAAGCAGTACACGTCGTCTGGATGAGCCTTTATCTGAGCCAGTAGCATGGCCATTTCAGCCATGGTTGAGAGATGGAGTACACCAACTGACTTAGTGCCGCAAATACAAGCTCTAATAGCTTACTCTGGATGGACGCTGGAATGACTGAGAGCGTCATTGTACACGGACATTATCCGCCACGTAAGCACATCCTTGCGCACTCCTGCCCACACACGTTAGAGGTGTAGACACATGTAGTACCGTCATTCGGACGTTGTGCGCCACCAAACATCCGCACAGTGGCGATAACGTGTAAGATCAGTGGTCGGGATGGCGCCAGTGTACAGTGAAGTGTTGGGGTGTGGTTCGGGTGCGGTCATGTTGCATAGGTTGAGCTGTACATTGAGCCCAGGGCAGAGCGATGATCTGATAGGGAAGAGCTTTCGGTGTGAAGGGCCAATTCAACCGTCCAAAACCGATGATATCTCATGCTTGATCAGTTTCATGCAATGATACTAACAAACGGGTACACATTCACCGTATTACACCGTGAACTTTGTCAGCGTCACCGATTCGGGTGGCCCTACCATGGCAGAGGTGTTTGCTGGTACATTAGAGGTTCTGCAAGAGTGGCAGTGTTTATCGGTAATTTGCAATTAGGGTTCGCGCCACCTCTTGCGATGCTGGGTAACGCATGCGAGGCATGCGGCTTGGAGCACGTAGACGACAACACGCTCCAGTCGCATGTGTCTAAGAATGTCAAGTGCAGGAGGAAGATACAGCACTCTCGTGCCCAGCGGCTGGTGGAGGCGTATCGGGACGCGCTGCGTGCCCGGCGCGCGGCAAGGCCCCGTTCACCCGCGCGTTCTCGTCGCAGCTATGGAGGCGACGCTGCTGAGAGGGCCGCAGTGGAACCGGCTGTAGTTACCGATCAACCCTACCCTCCCGACGGCGTAGAAGAGGATAGCGACGGTGATGAGAGTGTTATGTCAGTGATTGACGACGGCTTCAACACTCTGATCGAGCTGTACATCTTCTTCCGCGAGGCAGATCTGTCCAGAAGGGAGGTGAACAGACTGCTCACCATTTTTCATAACCCTAATTTCTCGCTGAGAGACGTGAGGCGGTGGCTCAATTTCGTGGACGTGAGACGCTTTTGGCGCGACAAGGCGCCGCGTGATCAGGTCCCATGGATGACGAAGGACATCAAGTGCTACGGGCCCAGAGGCAGGATGTGTACGCTACTGCTGCACTACCGGGATACTGAGCTGGTGAGTACATGGGTACATGCGATTGGAATCTGGGCGACTGCATGATGGTTCGTCTCCCCGCGGAAATGGGCAGACCAGTGACCACTCGTGTGCATGCTTGTGGCAGCTCGTGAAAAAACTGCTACGCGCATTCCACCACATCGCGGGATTTGTGACAAAGCCTCGGAAGGACGAGGAAGACACGGAGGAAGTGCGGCATTACAGCACCCCCGACACGGGGAAGTGGCTGGAAGAAGCACGGGTATGTAGTACTAATCGTATGGGTGGGTGATGATGGGCAGCTCGCGCGTCACTGACGGCTGGGTCCAGCGTGTGTGCAGGCCGCGATTGGAGAGGAGGACTGCATTGTGCTGGGTGTGATTGTGTACAGCGACAGCACGCACGCCTCGAGGAAGGGCAGACTGGCGGCATGGCCTGTCCTGATCAGCTTGTTCAACATCCCAGAAGCGCTACGATGGCAGGAGCCGAGCCACGTACTGGCTGGTGTGCTGCCGTTCCCGCCAGAGTGGGCCTCATCCACCGAGAAGACGCGCATCTTCCAGCAGTGCATGGAGGTCATATTCGAGCCCCTACTCCGCGCACACAGAGGGTGAGCGGGCCTAGAAGTAGAGCTCGACAGCCATGATATGACTTACAAGTGTACACCTTCCAATGTCGCCGTGTCCAGGGCCGAATTGCGATGGATTTATGTGACGGACGCGACGGGCAAGGTGGTGAAGGCCTTTCCCTGTCTTTTCGGGCAGCTGGGGGACTTCCCAGAGTCGTCTCGGTCTACAGCGACTCTGCAGCAAGGGTCACATCGGCCGTGTTCTACCTGCTACATGAAGGAGATACATCTGGCAGACCTGTCGCATAAGTCGGTGACGCGGACGGTGGAGCTACAGAGACGGGTCGTGGAAGCAATTCAGTCGGCGACCGACAGCAAGGCGGCGGAGAAAATCAAGAAACAATGGTCAACACACCCGGTGCAGGTGGGGGTTTCCAATGCATAATGTGTTCGTGCTTCCTCATGTGAATGTGCACACGGGGGGGCAACGCAGCGCCTGGTCACATCCGTGTCGTCTTTGCGTGTGGCAGTGCTACTTGGAAAGATGGAACTTCGCCGAGACCACGTGGGGAAACGTGTTTCTCGCATGCGCGGCAGACCTTCTACACGTCCTGGATGGGGGGATGCTACCACGCATGGGCAAGTGCTTCATGGCTGGGAAGAGCAAGCCGGAGAGGCGCGAGTTTGAGAGGTGGGTATGCATGGAAATGGCGACACCATTGTTGTCTAACCGAGTGCTTTGCTGACACTCCTACCCAACCATGGCAGGCGGCGCAAGGAACAGAAGAAGGACACGCGCGCAAGCGTAGTGCGCATCCCGGGGGGGACCACATGGTTCAGCACGGGGGCGAACTACGCCGCTTTCGAGCACAGGGGAATGATGCAGGTGATGCCCCTGCTTATCGCAGACAACATGGAGAAGAGCAAGCAGCCGGCTAAGGCGAAACGGGAACGGGAGGTGGCGGCGTTTGTGGCGTACGCCAGCTTCTACAAGGCGCTGGTGGGCGTGACAAAGCATACCGACAAGTCCCTGGACGACGTCCGGGAGATGGCCGTGAAGTACGTACAATCCGGTTGCTCCTATTAGGTGTGTGGCGCAACAAGTGTGCCTGGGGTGCCTAATCATGCCTCCTATGCGCACGCGCAGGATGGTGGCGGAGATCAAGGCCGCATTCCCTGACCAGACGTCGGACTGGAACATCCCTAAGGTGCACCAGATTGTGCACCTGATTGACGGCATACCACTGCGTGGTATGCCGAATGAGACATCCACCAACCTGTGGGAGCACACGCACAAGGGGACCGTGAAGGTGCCGGTCCGTGGCAGCAACTGGCACGACATCCCGCGCCGAATTGTCGAGGAGGAGGTGCAGCGCGAGATTGCACGGGAGGTGGCGGCGGAAGCGGGTGGAAACAGGCAGTATGTGACGGCGCTGCGCGAGGTGAGCGAAGAGGGTTGTGTACCAGGGCCACGATGTGCTGTATAAAGGAGATTGCCCTCTGAACCCGGGTTCTCACACGTCGCTCGCATGTTGTTGCGTGCACACAGGCAGTGCGGCGCATGAAGCCAGTACTGACGAAGGCTTCAAAGAGGGCGCACGTGGACGAAGACATGGACGCGGTGATGTGGGCGTACCGCGCAGCTCATGGGTCAGACATGAACGCACTCGCCGGGTGCATGGTGGCGGCAGGCATCCACACCACCACCATCGAGGTGGGATATGTCGTTCGAGAAGGTGGCTGGGTGATGGTTAATAGCATGTGAAGGTAATAGCAGGTGTGAATTCTGGGCCACGGCCTTGTGTCACCATCACACCGCATCCACTATACTCTGTCTGTGTCCCGGCGTACGCAGGTGCACACAGCCGTGGCGATCCCCCGAACGCGGGGGGGGGGGGGGTGCTTGTGCCCAAGGGCACATTTGTGAAGGCCAGTCCTTCTGAGCGGTGGTTTTCAGACATCGCAGTGTACCGGTCCGACAAAGAGGAGTGGTATGCCAGGTGCCTCTGCATCTTCCGCGCAGAGGTGGCAGATGGGGAGATGGGGCGACACGTGTACGTTAAGTACTACGAGGCAGAGGGCACGTGCCCGATGACGTCATGCCTGCAGCTTTCTCCCGGCCGTGTGAGAACAAGATACGCGGTGGTTCCCGTGGAGTGCATCCAGAGGGTGGTGCACGTGTGCAAGTCCTATGTGAACAAGCGTGTCATGCTCCTGAACAAGTTCCTGCTGACGGAATGAGAGAGGCGGGCTGTTCCATTGCCGTGACGTGTGGGCCAAGTGAGGCCATGTGCGCTGGTATGGACGCAATTGACGCTAAATCAGTAGACACATGGGGTGGCCCCTTAAATGGTTTTTCTTCTTATGACCAGATGTGTCGTTTGGTTGGGTGGATCTTGCATACCGTTTAACATAATAAGTGGTCTCCACCAGGTGTAGATGTTGGCAAGTTGTTTGAAAAGGTTAATGTGTTTAGGCATTGCATTTGGTGTAGAGCGGGTTTGACGGAGATGCTTTCTCATTGTACGATGACGCGCGAGCGTCAAATGTGTGACTCGAGAGGTGATGCGCCTCGATTGGGAAAATGTGCGCCTCGATTTTCCCGGGCCCGTTTTGAATTGGGTGGGAGAGCCCTAAGGTTACATTTGCGTCACATGTGTCTTGGGACGTTTTGGGTAGTCATAGGGACTTTTTGTAAGCTTCTCCGTAGAAAAACCCCCTCACATGAAAAATGGGCTCTTAACTTTTCCGCGATGAATGCATCCGACTACATTGCACTTATAGGTTCTGCTACAAACATTTTACTTCGAATCCCGATAGGGGGTGGCAATAGGGTAACCACCTAGTAGCTACACCCGATACATGTATAGTGACCACATTGTAGACAATCTAAATTTACTTCGAAGCCACTCCCTAGGAAAGCATGCAGTAGGTACATAGTACTTGCAAAGTGCTGATAGAGCAAAAATCAGGTACCATTCGTAGCATTCAATTAACAATTCCAGCTTGCACATTTTTTGTTGAAAGAAATTGACCAATAATTTCATAGGACGTTACAAATATACATTCTACCAATACAGACTTCGTGGTCGCCACGAAGAAATCCTCTCTACACTAAGTGACCGAACTTTACATCAACAATCGATTAGCAGAGGCCTGCAAAACAACAGTCAATAATAAGCCTGCAAAATCGCACTAACACACATGCACCGTTAGTGTTAGAACAAAAGACAGAGCAAGGTCCAACCTTTAGCCTGCAAAATCGCACTAACACACATGAACCGTTAGTGTTAGGAAAACAAGTAACAAATACAATGCTTAATGTGATACCAACGGTTTAGGAACTACGGGCTCCACCTGTGCAAGAGAGAGCAAGAGTGGCCTCAACGGTTCGTCTCGCGTTCGTCGACGACGAAGAGCAGCGCGCCCGCGATGATGGCCGCTGTCCGCCATCTCTTTACTCGCCGCCACCGCCACCACCTCCACGCCGCACGCGCCCATCTTCCCCACCAAGCGCGCATGCACCTCCTCGGCATCCCGTACGCAAGCAGGCTCCGCACCGCGACGAATGTGCGCACCACGTAGCGCAGCCGACGCACGAGCGCAGCGCAGTCGACGCCGACGGGCAAGGGGCAGTTCTCGAAATCTCAGAACACGCCCACCCCGGGCGAGCATGTTGCAGACTCCGATTCCAGTTGAAACGAGTGTGATGGTAGCGGGTGGGGTGTGAGGGTAAGGTTTAGGAGTGGGGAACGGAGGCGGGTAGGAGAGGGTGTTGGGAAGGAACGTTTCACCTAGTGGTTGGAGAGTTGCTGGTGGGAGAGTTACTCTATGCAAAAGGGCTGTCTGGTAGCTAAGAAATGAGAACTGAAGGTTGGTGGTTAGATGTACTCAGTTACCGTATGTGTGTGGTGTGGACCCCGCCGAAATCTGGGCTTGAACCAATCACAAACTACGTAGCATCATCTTTTTCTGCATCTCTCGATCTTAACCATCCAACTTATGAGAGATCGACGGTTGAAATGTTTCTGCTAGCCATTAGAGATCAGCTTCTTAGCATGGGAAGGAATCGACGGTTGATGATAGAACCTCACTTGGATCTACGGATGTAATTCCAACCCCAGTGAAACCCTTTTTGGTTTGTCAGCTGAGATCTTGACCACCCACCAAAATACAGATCGACGGTTCTAAATTCATTCTCTACCAGAATCGGTACTGATCTCAACCGTTCAGGGCTTCCCTGATCAACGGATAACATTCCAACTTGCAAAAAAGCTCTACAGTTCTCAACAGCGCGCTTCAACTCGATCGGAACCGTCCATGGCTGAAATCGACGGTTCTTGTTTTTTCGTAGCTTAAGTTACGCGAACAGAACGACGTGTGTTATTTTTATTGGCTTCGGGTTTTTTTGTTCTGTCGTTCTGACTAAACGTTACCAATTGTGTCCCTAGAACCAGTGACGCAAACGGGCTTCTATGAAACGAAGAAAATTGTATTCGACGGCAAATGTCGAGAAAATCGGGCAGGAAGAATTCACTGTACCGATGAACAGTGCGTTATTCAGGCAAGGTAGGGTTATCGTGGCTACATTGAACGTAGGTGGGGTCGTAAACTTTGTTGTGCGGGAGGTACGGGATGCACTCATTGGCCGATGTGTCTGGTATGTAACTGTTGGGTGTCCAGCAACATTGTGTTCAGGTTGTTGGGTGCTAGGCTTAGCATGCGAGGTTCGTTCAGAGTGGACGAAAAAGTTTGTATCTACATTGCATCGACTCTGGAGACACCCCGAACCCAGCTCCGAAGTACCCACTTCCTTGCCTGCTACCCCAAACCCAACTTTTACAATTTTGGGATGTTCTGAGTATCCCGTCGACAAACGCAAACTGTCGATCAGCAGATTGGAATTCCGAGACGAATAGGTATTTTGGACGAATTGTAACAACATATAGCTAACGACGACCTCTGCGTTATAATCATGAAAATTGGTTGCACATCATGTATAACTGCAACATATTGCAGATGCATCATCCTATGCCGCCATGGAACGCACGAGGAGGAGGATATGATAAGCGCGTGCTTTATCATCCTAAATCGGTCCTCCGTAATGCACACTATAGGAGGCTCGCCATGACTCAAGGAACTACGGAGAAAATACTTGGGAAAGAAAGAAGGCGAGTAGGCCTTGGCTCGGCGGCAGTTTCTGGGAGAACTAACTGCCAGCGGAGGACTCCTTCGTTTGGGTTGAGATGGTTATCAGGCAGATTTGGTTGGCTGTGAGGCGGGGGGAACATCTCCGACCACAGTGTAACGCAAAACAACTCTAAAAAAACAATCAAACCGTTTTCCACCCATTTGATTTTTTCGAAGATCTCTGACTGCCACTGAGCTTTGTTTTGTTTCAGGGGGGGCTGGTGGTGAGTGGCATTTGACAGACTCCGCTCGTCTCGAAATTCCAGCCAATTTCCGTCCGATTGAAAAATCGAGAATGCTGGTTTTGGGACGAAACGGAACTGAAACGGACGAACTGGCTTTCACTACAACAACCGAATACCGTCAATTTGTAGACGGAATCGGCACTGACTCCTGACGGAGAATTTTACGCCAAAACAAATGCAAATCTTCAACACGGGGATTACCGATAATGGTGAGTGTCTAGAGATGAATGGAACCAGGAATATCGCTGGTTTTTGGAAACATTTTCGTGCATCATGTTTGGAAGTGACCAAGGATAGGGACTGAATGAAACATATTGTAGCCTAAGGCGTGCTCCAATTATTTGCTGACAACTTTCCACCCACCCGTGTATCATCATCTCAGCATATCATCTGTTTGGCAGCAGCAGCCCCAGCAGCATATTGAAGAGCAGCTGCACCCATGTATCGACCGGGCCCGGATGGCAGTAGTGCAGGCAGTCCCACCGCCCCACGTGCCCATCAGGTCGCCACACCGCAGACGCATTCACATCCATGTACACCCCTCCCACGCCCTCTGTCAACCTCTTTAAAATCTCATTCTGCGCCGCAAACCCATCCCAGTGCCAGTCATCATGCGGCAGTGCCAGAAGCTTCCCAGAAAGCGGCTTCCGATGCAGCCAGCAGTGGGGGTGGCCGGCAGGGGTGTTTCGGACAATAATGAGCAGATCAGGGTAGATTTGCCTCAGCGCCAGCAGCGTGGATCGCATTTGCCGCTCAAACTGACCGTCTTCAATATAATGAGCCCCTCGGTTCATGACCACTATCGACACGCCCTGTGCTGCAATGTCATCCATCCATGACTCCCCGAAGTTCTTATCCACCATGAAATCGTTCTCTGCTTCCGTGGAATTGAGGTAATAATCCCTCACAAAAAATATCCGGACGGAGAATCCCAAGTCGGCGCAGAGATGAAGGGTCCAGCAGCGTTTGTCTGCTGGCTCCTTAGTTGCGTTTCGGTATCGCTGGCAGTAGCCTGTCGGCTCGCCCCATTGCACCCGGGAGGCCTGGTCCTTCGCACGTAGCCTCACGTTGTACAAGATTGAGTCGGCTAGCAGCTGGTTTATCGAGTCACCCACTATAAGCAAGCTTCGCTTGTCGAGAATCTGGCAAAACTTATCTGGGGCGAACCATTCCCAAGGCCCGGCACATCTGCTGCCGTTGGTACTACTACCATCTGATGCTGCTGCTCCATCCTGACCGTCCGTACTGCTTCCCGGAACCAACCAGAAGTATTTGAGAGACTCTCTTACAGTCCACTGGCGAATCAGCTCGTCCCTCCGTCTCTTCAGCAGCCTCAATTGGTTGAGCAAATGCAGCGGCGCCCCTCTCCCCATCTTACTAATCTCCTCTATTTGACTCACAACCTCCTGAAACTGTCCCACGATGCGATCCGCGTCTTGAAATGCCACGTGGCGGGTGCTCTTTTTCAAGTGTCCCACGTCGCATTTGCTCATCTCGTCCGGCCATGGCAATAGCCGCGGAGAGACGTAGTGGGACCAATTGCCTTCCCGCCCTATGCAATCGAATCTTTCTCGAAAAGATCTGATCTTATCCGGGGAATCGAGCACGGAACCTGGGATTCGAGTCCAGACGGCTGGTGGAAGGTCGGAGAGAGGAGGTTCGGTTGGAGGTTTGGTGGGAGGTTCGGTGGGAGGATCGGTGGGAGGTCTGGTGGAAGGAGGGGGTCCGGCACTAGGATGGGAAGAAGGTGAAAACGGTGCAGATGGTGTGAACTCTGGAACAGCCGATGGTAAACTTTTAGACGCCTCAGAAGCTGTTGAGTTTGAGGAGGATGCGATATCTGATGGGGATGCAGTTGTGCCGCCGCTCACAGGCAAAAAACTGGTGACGATTGGTAACCCGACGGGAGGAGCGCGAGGAGGAACGGCTGCGTTGACGGTTTGATCACTCGAGAGTGGACTGCCGGCAGAGGGTTGACTGTCGCCGGCAGAGGATTGACTGTCGCCGGCAGAGGGTTGACTGTCGCCGGCAGAGGGTTGAATGTCAACAGAGGGTTGATTGTCAGCAGAGGGTTGACTGCCGCCAGCAAAGGGTTGATTTCGGTCAAAGGGCAGCTTCGGCTGACGTCTCTGGAGTTCTCCAAAATCGTCATGTCTGCTTGATTTTCCTGAATGAGCTGACAAGGCCGCCGGCACGCCTGCCACGTCAGAGTGCAACGAAGCATCGTTGGATGGAGTGTATCCGGGTAAACTGGAGACCAATCCAGGAGAGAATCTCGTAAACTGATCCAGGAGACGAGGAGAGGAGGATCGCCCGAACGTGTAGAGACCAATGAAAGCGAAGGAAAGAGCGATTGCGATAGCGACACCGGCGTGAACCGTCGGAACTTGCTCGAATTGCTTAATTTGAGGTTTATGAGTTGTCGCCTCTTCGACTCCTAAAGCCATACTTTGCCGCACGCGGCTGCTACGTTCCAGAAAAAGCACGACCGTCGACTCCTGCGCTTTAGTGAGAAAAACCGTTTTAAACTCGTCCAACCCTTACAGCTTTTAAAGCGAGGGCATCACAACGAAGGCAATCTATAGCCGTGAATCTCGCCATGACTACAACTAATCTCCAGCCGTGAACAGCGCGACAGGGAGCACACGGTGACGCACATGACCGCGGTAACGTGGTGTCGAGAAACAACAATTGGTGAGAATCGCCGATCCTGCTACCAACTCCTTTCACCCGTCAGCGTCATGAAGGCAGAGGCTAGTGGAGGAGGGAAAGGACGCAGTGTAGGTGATGCCTCGATTTTGAGAAGCCTTTTATGAGTTTTGTGTTCAGCGTACAGTGATGAACGTCTCCTCTATATGAGCACAGGTTTTCTCCTATAGCTAGTGTTTTGCAAGTTCCACCATGGCTTCAACCCCACAATGTCAGACAATCTCTGGGGTCAGTCAAACTAGTCACGACATGTCTGGCTTGCGCGATCCAGTAACCAGAGTAACGGGCATGGGCGAAATGTGACGGCGCCGTCACGTTTCGCCCCAATCACGTTTCGCAAAATTATATGACTCATTATGGTGCACAATCAGCACGGTACAATGTATTACACATCTAGTTCTTTGATTTCAGCAGAAAGGGCAGACACACACGTGTTTTCCAAGTAGCCACTATGGTACAAAGGCCCCCTTTCTAGCAAACTAAAGCCCATGACACATTGCCATCCTTTTCTCCAGCTTCATCGAGTGCAATGAAGCATAAGAGACATCAAGGAACTCTTCCCTTTCCCCCCAAAACACCCTCGTATGCAAAAATCAGCACAGCCCAGTGCAGAAATCCAACTTCCTCCCATCACCCTCACCAAGAACCCAGATTAGCAAAGCAGCCAGCAGCAACAGTGACACGTCATCATCCAGTGGCTGATTTGCCAGGTGGCGGTGTGCAATTGGTCACCTTGCGACACCGTGTGAGCCCCTTACGCCCGCACTTGCACCGCGTGCACCAATCACCGGGCTTGGGAATGTTGGTCGTGCCGAGAGCATACCACTTCATTCCCCATGTGGGACCGGCACTGCTGCAGTTGGTGGCTCTGAAAGCTGCAGAGCGTATCGTGGGAGAGAAGAAAGGACAGGAAAAGGAGAGTTTTAGATGCTCGGGCGAGGGGTTCTGCTGGTGCCATGTGTTTAAACTTCATGCAGCCCATATGAGGAACACACTGCTGCAGTTGGTAGCTTCGAAAGCAGAGCGGTTGATAATGGATAGGGTGGAAAACACCGCAAGAATGCTGAAGAGTGGGAGCACATTCTTGCAAGATAGGATTAATCTAACCCGATAGTGCTCAGCACCCACCGTCTTGCGGCGCTATGCACGTGCCAACATCAATCCTGTACCCCTCACTGTCCACACCACCACGCCCCACTCGATTGATCAGACACCTGCACACAAGGGAACGGAGGGTGGGATTGCATAAATAGGGTGGGGTTGAGTAAACCTTTGTTAGGCACTCTGGAAATTTTAATGTCCTGTATCCCTGGCTGTCTTTCCCTCTCACCCAACTCGACTGTTCCGACACCTGCAAATCTAATAAATCATCACTAAATACGTACGTTTGCTGTAGAGGAGGGCACTCGAATCGGCGAATGCTGGCTCCGCGATAATTAGTCCGACACGGCACCTCGGGGCACACGCACTGCGCCTCCATCCGCACCAGCTCCTTCCCCCCCGGGATCACCACCGGCACCGCCTTGCAGTTGCAGCGCTCGCAGCTGCTGCTGCCGGGGATGCCGCGCGTTCCCACTGCATAGGGCTGCGACATGAACGCGCAATAGAGACCCTCTGAGGGTGTGGGGAAGGGGAGGAGAGGGAGGCGGGAGGTGGGAGGTAGGAGGGGGAGGATGAGGGGAAGAATCAAGTCAAACGCAGCACTGCGCCTCCATCCGCACCAGCTCCTTACTCCCCGCGATCACCACCGGCACCGCCTTGCAGTTGTAGCGCTCGCAGCTGCTGCTGCCGAGGATGCCGCGCGTTCCGACTGCGTAGGGCTGCGACATGAAGGCGCAATAGAGATCCTCTGCGGGTGGGGAGAGCGCGAGGGGAAGGGGGGGAGAGGGGGGGGGCAAAGGGGTCCGGGAGCGAATGGATTACGCGCGTTCCCACCGCGTAGGGTTGCGACATGAACGCGCAGCACAGCCCCTCTGCGCGTGGGGGGAGCGCGGGGGATTAAGGGGAGATGGGGAAAAAGAACGAATTAATTCCGCACGTTCCAACCGCGTTGGGTTGCGACATGAACACGCAGTAGAAACCCTCTGTGTGGAGGAGCTGGACAGGCGGCATGACAGCTCAATACTGTTCAGTTAGCAGCGGGCGCGCATACAGAGACGATTTTTTAGGCGTCTAAAGAATTTTTTTAGACCTAAACAAAACGTTGAGACGTAAAATTAGGTCGAGACGTCAAAAGAAGGAACCGGACGAAGAATCAGAAGAAAGCAAGCGGGAGTTTACAGAAATACATACTCGGAGCCTAATTGGCGGATATGCCATGCGCTACCCACTGTTTTGAGCACTCACGCGTGTAACTAGTGAGTATGACACGCTATCCCGCGTTATTTCAAGAATGCATCGAGGGGTTTCCCCTTTCCCCCCCCCCCCCACCCCACCCCACCCCCCAAACCCCCCTTTCTGTGCAGAGAAACTTACTTTCGTAAGTGCTGTTGCAGACTCCCTTGTAGCGACCGTATGGATTCCCAGGCTTCGGAGTTCTCATTACAAGACACCTGAAAAGAAGAACGCGGCAACGGACAACTTTCAATAACCTTTGCGAAAAAAATCGCGGGGGTACCATTTAACAGGGGAAAACAAAAGTTATGTTAAAAACATGCAGTTTGGCAACCGTTCACCACTTGAGTCTGTCCGAAACGGGACACGTGGCATGTGGAGAGACCGAAGCAAAACGAGTCCGTCCGTCTGAGCTTTTAGGACGAGGCGGGAGCTAGAATTTTTTACTTGCCTTCCTAAAGCTCCGGACAAGAAAACCGCATTCACAGACTCCTACTGGCAGAATACATCGCGCCTGCATGTCTGGCCCGCTTTCGCACGTGAAGCGAGAATAAGCGAAGAAAGGGTGTAACCTTCGACTTGCGTCAAAAGCAGTGAGTAGCGGCGATATAGCAGGCAACAGGCGGCGACTGTGATTATTTTGCATTTCTCGAAGGTGGTTTTCGTGATTTCGTGGCGCCTTAGTACACGCATTCTAGAAGAGCGCGACTATCCAGCAACTAAAAATCGACTCGTTACATTATGACTGGCATCTGTGCTTTTGAAGCAGGGGAAAAATGGTGGGTGTTAACGACTTACGTGGCTGGCCCGCCTTCGCACTCAACGATGGGCTTTAACGTCGACGAAAGCACGCAACGGCTGCCGTCTTTTAGCTTCTTTGCTCCTGAAAGGTAAGAGACATTTTGTGATTGGATATATGAGGGATTTTTCACAAACAAAGAAACACCTAAAACGCAATATTTTGCAGACTCATCTCGCTCAACGGAAAAAAAATCGCTCAAAGAGCGAGAGACATAAGCACGAACAGACCCTAAAGAGTCACACTGTCGAGAACGGCTAAAATTAATCCGAGAAGGGTGATTGAAGTCAGGCTTACCAGATACAACGGTCGCAGCCATGATGAATACTAACAGTAATTGAAAACCTCTCGAAATCGCCATCCTGGCAGCAAGAGCTTGCAAGAAAGCTATTTGTCCTAAGTGAGGTTCTGACAAAGAACTGAGTGGTCCGTGTCGTAAGCTCTGGTAAGTTATGAATATGTTTGTTCTTTAGACCACAGACAAAAAGACTGTAACCGTGGCTCGTTAAAGTAAGCGAAGCTGCTGAGATGGTTGCGGCTCCACCGGAGGACCTACTAAGGCTTATTGAAACTCACTAAGCGTCCCGACACTTGCTAAGGCAAACCCGACAAGCCTGGAAGACTAGGAAGTAATCTATCAAGGTAAACGTGACTGACAGGTGGTAGTCGCGGCGATTTGCTAATATCAGGTGAGTCGGAAAGGCAGCAACACTGAAACAGGCTAGGAGATTTCAAAATTGGCTTGCTGAAAACAGCAACGGCACCAGACTAGGAGAAGCAGAGGATGATTCTTTTATAATTAGTGGATTTGAGAACAAGGCAAGGTCTAGGTGCTCTACTCGTGCACCGTCTCTCAGCAAAAACAGAGCGAGGAGGGCAGCAGAAAGATCGATGGAGATAGACAGTCCCGCTTCAGAAGAGTTTTCGCTGCGCTGGCTGCGCGGAAGCAGCTGGTTGTTGGCGTAATCCCGGGAATGGGGGGAGAGGGGGTTGATGGGGTTCCTGGAGGAGAGGCAGATCTGCAATCCCGCGCGGGTGAAATTCCGGGTTTGCGGGGCAAACATGCGGCTGGCCCTTGCCTGTGAATGGCATGGGTGGGGTGGGATTGGGGGAGGTCACTCTGGCTGTGTGCTGCTGGTAGTGAGGGCTAGGCGGGAACAGCGCCGCAGGGATTCGGCGGCGGCAGAGGTTTCCCCGGGATGTTTCGGGGTCAGGAGCCGAGTCGCACATTGGAGACTACTTCCGCGGCGCGTGATTCGCTGCAATTTCCCTTCTCAGTCGCTTTGCCTGCAAAAGGGGGTTCGTTTTGATGTGGGCTGGGCTGACGACGACAATGACGTGGTGGTGTGGTGGTCCAGTTTTGATGCAGAATGGCCTGACGAAAATCAGGCCGCGCACGCCGAGGACTGGTCCTGCGAAGATTTCTGATTGGCCAATGTGTCTGCAAAAACGCCGGCTGACTGGTGGCGATCCAGCGGCTCGCGACGCACTGTACAGTTCTTGCCCCTACATAAATTCTTCCCCGCTGTAAGTAAGCTAACGCACTTCGCGCTTGACATTCAGCTTAAAACATATCCATAGATAACACTCCACAAAAACTCACATTGCCCTGTCTTGAAAATCAGCACAATGATTCATAGAATTAGCATGTGAACAGAATTACAATATTGGTGTATAAAATGGCAGGCCATTACAAGGACAACAAATGCACAGCATTCATCTGGTACACCTTCCTATTGCGGCTTTCTTGATAGCCTGTTTGTTTTGATGATGAATCTCTACATCATAGAATCACTCGTATTGTTTGATCATCACCTTCACCATTCACCTGCCGTCCTCAAAATACTCAACAAGGAGGTGCTCCACATCAGTGCGTGTGGTTACGGGGTTACCAAGCGTGAACGCCTTGAGCCAAGTGGGCATGCCTGCAAAGAAAGGGGCCAAACAGGAGGGATCAATCACCCACAAAAATACCGCATTTCTGGGGCGCCTCAAAAGTTGCCGAGCGTGAACGCCTTGAGCCAACTGGGCATGCTTGCAAAAGAAAGGGGCCAAACAGGAGAATACACAAGAATACTATACATAGGTTAGAGAGTCAGCAGGCCAAGGGTGCCGGAATTGTGTGTGTTGAGCTGCAATAGAGCCCCGCAACCTTGAAGACCAAGTCTTCAGCGGAAAGCAAAATTGGTATAATTGCAGTCACTTAACCTAACGGAATGCCTGTTCAGTAAAGGGCAGGGCACCCTTACCTCGAATGGTGACTGGTCGCAGGCGCAGGTCGTGCGACTCCTTCTGGAGGAAGGAGAGGCCTGAGGAGAGCGAGGTGAGGGGCCACAACCCAAGTACCTTACCTATGCCTGTACAGCAGGGACACGCCGTGACTGGCCACTGTGACTGTAAAGGCTGTACGCACCTCGAATGGTGACTGGTCGCAGGCGCAGGTCGTGAGACTCCTTCTGGAGGAAGAAGGAGAGGCCTGAGGAGAGCGAGGTGAGGGGGGTTGCCAGCACCAGCTCCCTCTGAGAGTGGAGTCATTGGGGTGAACAGAGGGGAGAAGAGAGGGGTGTAAGCAGCCAGTCAAAGAGAGGGGCAGATCGGAGGAAACATGTGAGCCTGTTGTCAGCAAAAACCTTAGCAGGAGAGCGAGGTGAGGGGGGTTCCAGCACCAGCTCCCTCTGAGATACACGGGCATTGGGGCGAGCAGCAAGCCGGGGCAGCAAAGGGGGGCAGCAGAAGGGGGCAGCAGAGGGGGGCAGCAGAGGGGGGCAGCAGAGGGGGGCAGCAGAGGGGGGCAGCAGAGGGGGGCAACAGAGGGGGGCAACAGTGGGGGGCAACAGAGGGGGGATGAAGGGAGGCATTGAGACTCCTTCGGGAGGCCCGAGGAGAGCGAGGTGAGGGGGGTGGGCAGCAGCAGCTGCCGTTGTGATTGACGAGCATCGGGGCGAGAAGAGGGGAGAGGAGGAGAAGGCACATGGGCCAACTGTCATCAACAGGGTGAGTGAGAGAGGAGAGCGAGGTGAGGGGGGTCAGCAGCACCAGCTGCCTTCGAGATGCCGTTGTGATTGACGAGCACTGGGGTGGGCAGCAGCAGCGCGAATAGAGGAGCACATAGGGGCGAGCAGGGGAGTGAGAAGAGGGGTGAGAAGAGGGGTGAGAGGGGTGAGAAGAGGGGTGAGAGGGGTGAGAAGAGGGGCGAGTAGGGGAAGGCATATGAACCATTTGCCATCAACAGCTTGAGAAGAGAGAGAGAGGCGAGAGATGCTGCCACTACCAGCTCCCTCTAGGATAGACGGGTGTCGGGTTGGGACGAGCACAAGGGAGAAGAGAGGGGCTTTCAGGGGGAGGCATGTGAGCCAGTTGTCATCACATCACCAGGTCAACAGGAGAGAGTGATTCTATGCTGAATCTGGTTATTGAAAATTCTAAAAAAAACAGGAGCCAGTCGTTGTGATCAACAGGTCAGCAGGAGCAGGTGATTTTATGCTGAATCTGTTTTATGAGAATTCTAAAAAAACAGAGCCAGTTGTGATCAACAGGTCAGCAGGAGAGGGCGGTTTTATGCTGAATCTGGTTTATGAGAAATCTAAAAAAACAGAGCCAGTTGTGATCAACAGTTCAGCAGGAGAGGGTGATTTCATGCTGAATCTGTTTTCCGAGAATTCTAAAAAAACAGAGTCAGTCGTTGTGATCAACAGGTCAGCAGGAGCAGGTGATTTTATGCTGAATCTGTTTTTTAAGAATTCTAAAAAAACAGAGCCAGTTGTTGTCATGAACAGGTCAGCAGGAGAGCGAGGAGGGAGAGGTTGCCAGCACCAGCTCCGAGAGGCATGGAGACGAGCAGGAGAGCGAGGAGGGAGGAGAGAGGGTGGTGGAATTCGAAACTGGGAAAAAACGACGAGAGGGTGCCTTTCATAGATGGTACGGATTACGTAGTGTACCTTGAAGCGGTTGCTGGTATCGGATTAGTACGTAGAGAGGATGACAAGGGCGTGCAGGGAGTGACTTCCCAGTCGACTCAAAAGTCACAAGGGCGTGCAGGGAGTGAGTGAGTGGCTGGATGGATGGAGCAGCGAGGAGACAGCTGAAAAGAACAAGACAGAGTATGTAGTATAGAGTACCTTAAAACGACTTTTGAGGCGCCTCAAAAGACAGAATATGTAGTATAGAGTACCTTAAAACGCTTGCTGGTTTCGGAGTAGTATGTAGAGAGGATGACCAGGAGGTGCAGCGAGCGCGTGGCTGGTGGTTGGGTGCAGGGGAGGAAGGAAGAGTGACGTGAGTGGGTGAGTGGTGAATGAGAAAAGGAGTATGTAGAGAGGATGACCAAGAGGTGCAGCGAGCGCGTGGCTGGTTGTGGGGGGGTTAAAGGGATTGGGTATGTGGGGGGAACAAAGAGGGTTGGGTTAAACGGTGTGAGAAACGGAGTGGGTATGTGGGGGGGATGAGCAGCACGCAGGGAGCGCGTGGTGGCTGGCCAGGGTGCGGGAGAAAGTGAGATTGAGAGGATGGGTATGCGAGAAAACGGCATAAATGAATTGGAAGCACAGATTAAGGGGACAGGATTAAATAACAGCAGTTGCGGGAAGCGAGTGGTTGGTGGTGGGTGCGGGTAAACAGAGAGGGCTGGGCTGGATGCATCAAGAAAGGGAGTGCTAAGTGGGGTGATTGAGCAGCAGGCCACGTGTAAAAAATGATGTAGGGCGAGGTGACTTTTGAGTCGACTCAAAAGTCATGATGTAGGGGCGAAATTTCACTTTTTGAGACGTCTCAAAAATTCACTTTTTACAACGTGGGGTGATTGAGCAGCAGCAGGTGCTGGGAGCGGGTTGCAGGCAGGAGCCGGAAAAGGGGAGAATGAGAGACGGCGAATGAGGGTAATGGTGCTGGTTGGAAGGTGGAGGGCGGAGGGTGGAGCTTTCCACATTCCCCATTAACCACAATCACTGCCCCCCCTCATCCCTGTTGACTGGGTGAATAGTGGAGAGCCGGGCTTCTCACATTTCCTGGAGTGGCTGTGGCCTCCTGAGAGGTGCATGGGGGGGGTGTGGGTGGGTGACTAGCTGCATGTACCCTATCCCCAGCACACGCAAAGGCACTGCTTAAAGATCTCACGTTCGTGCAGACACTGGAATTTGAGTTTGAGAAGCTCAAGGCTTCTAATGAAGAGTTAAGGGCAAAAGTTGAGTTTGTGCCTTCAGCTCTTCACTAGAAGCCTTGAGCTTCTCAACCTTGGAATCCGATGTCTGTACAAACAAGAGAACGGGGGATTCCTTCAAGCAATGCTTTACGGTGGATGGAAAAGACACTATAATCAACTAAATGCTTACTTATAAAAAATGAATAATTTTCCTGTAGCTGTGACACATGTCTTGCTGTGCTCCACAGGACTGTAGAAGATCAGAAATGTAGATGGCGCTAGCTCCATGTACAAGACATGTGCACTAGCTCCATGTACAAGACATGTGCACTAGCTCCATGTACCCAGGTGCATGGGGGTTATGGTGTGGGCGACTGACTCAAGATGCACGTACGCTATCCCCATTCCAGCACCCACAGAGGAACTGCTTCAGAATCTCCTCGAACCTGGCGTCCTTGTTCACCAGCTGGGAGACGGAGTGGCGCTGCGAGGGGAGGTGCATGGGGGTTGTGGTGTGGGCGACTGACTCAAGGTGCACGTACGCTATCCCCATTCCAGCACCCACAGAGGAACTGCTTCAGAATCTCCTCGAACCTGGCGTCCTTGTTCACCAGCTGGGAGACGGAGTGGCGCTGCGAGGTGCATGGGGGTTGTGGTGTGGGTGACTCAAGCTGCACGAACCCTATCCCCATTCCAGCACTCACAGAGGAATCGCTTGAGAATCTGCTCGAACTTAGCATCCTTGTTGACCAGGTGAGATGTGCATGGCACTCTGACCACAACCCACCCCACCATACAGCTGCATGCATGTATCCAACCCGAACTGACTCACAGAGGAACTGCTTCAGAATCTCCTCGAACTTGGCATCCTTGTTCACCAGCTGGGAGGTGGAGCTTCCCACATTCGATATCGCGACGTTCAACACCTCGCCTCCTTTCTTTCCACGCACGCCTGCATATTCATTTAAGCAGTGGGACAAGAGAGCGTACAAGCACACGTGCGTGTGTTGTCATGCCACATCATCATGCCGTTTCTTTCGATATCGCCACGTTCAACACCTCGCCTCCTTTCTTTCCACGCACGCCTGCATATTCATTTAAGCAGTGGGACAAGAGAGCGTACAAGCACACGTGCGTGTGTTGTCATGCCACATCATCATGCCGTTTCTTTCAATATCGCCACGTTCAACACCTCGCCTCCTTTCTTTCCACGCACGCCTGCATATTCATTTAAGCAGTGGGACAAGAGAGCGTACAAGCACACGTGCGTGTGTTGTCATGCCACATCATCATGCCGTTTCTTTCGATATCGCCACGTTCAGAACCTCTCCATGGACACCTGGTGCCGTTTCGTTCAATATTGCCGTTTCACCTGGTGCAGAGGCAGCGAGACAACAGAGAATACCGGCGCAGCACGACAACATCGCAAGGATGCCACAACACAACATACGACATGACAGCAACACTATAATGTGGTTGGGGTGACTTTTGAGGCGCTCAGAAGTCATTTTGAGTTCACCAACACTATGGCATGGCATGCTGCACTCGCCATGTCCCATGGCATGCTGCACTCGCCATGTCCCATGGCATGCTGCACTCGCCATGTCCCATGGCATGCTGCACTCGCCATGTCCCAAGGCATGCTGCACTCACCAGGTCCCATGGCATGCTGCACTCACCAGGTCCCATGGCATGCTGCACTCGCCGTGTCCCATGGTATGCTGCACTCGCTGTGTCCCATGGCATGCTGCACTCACCGGGGCCCATGGCATGCTGCACTATATCCGCTCTAAGGAGTTCCTCAGTAGTGAGCGACGCCTGGTTGTATTTCTTGTCACGCACTGGGGGGGATGAGGGGAGAGAGGGGGACCCAAGGAGGGGGAACTAAGGAACAAATGGAGGGGGAAGCTTGAAGCTTGAAGCTTGGGCACAAGGGCTCCTCAGTAGTAAGCTACGCCAGGTTGAACTTCTCGTCGCGCAGTGGAAAGGGAGAGGGAGGGGATTAGGGGCAAGTGAGGAGGGGGGAAGCTTAAAGGATGAGTTGAAGGAATTTCCTCAGTAAATGCGCGATGCCTGGTGGTACGTACGTCTTGTCTCGCACAGGGACGGAGGGAGGGAGGGAGGGAGAGGAGAAACTGGAGCAGGAACAAAAGAGAGTCTTCACATCAAGTCAAAAGAGAGTTCCTCAGTAGTGAGCGACGCCTGGGTTCACTTCTTGTCTCGCACTGGGGGATTGGGGGAGGTGGAGAAAAGACCAAGAGAACATTGCCGTCATCATTCCCGCTTTTGAGTGGAGTCAAAACCAAGAGAACATTCCTGGCATCATTCCCTGCAAAAAAAAAAAAAACCTATCTGAATACACATTTCTCAACACTCAAACGCCACATGAACATTCCACTCACATATCTCGTAAAAAACGTTCCGCCCGAGGCACCTCGATCCAACGGCCAGGAATGCCGCCATGCTGGCATCCACCTCGCTGCTCTGCCCGGGATCTAGATTGTTGGTGCATGTGAGAATGGCTGCGAGCTGAGGGTGAGGATGGGATGGTATTGGGATGGGAGGAGGAGGAGAGGAGGTTGAGAGGAAGCAGTGTGGCAATGGGCCTATCAGGCATCCATGCTGGCATCCACCTCGCTGCTCTGCCATGGATCTTGGTTGTTGGTGCACGTGAGAATGGCTGCGAGCTGAATGAGGGGTTGAAAAGATATGTGGGAATGTACAGACAGTCACAGCGAGGAAGCCAGCACACTTAATCTCACTCTCACCCCAGACTCACCAGCAGCAGGCGCGCAAGTGCCTCAGAGCAGGCATGGTGAGGGGCACTGAGGAGCAGGATAGAATGCATGCTCGCAAGCTTGAAATGCGAGTGCCTGAAAAAATGCGAGCCAGCATGGTGGCCCAGCTGCTGCTGGAGGGATGAGAGGATGGCCAATGCCCTCCAACTCTCCGTCTCCCTCTCACCCCAGACTCACCAGCAGGCGTGCAAGTGCCTCAGAGCAGGCATGGTGAGGGGCTTCCTCTGAAAGAATGCGAGCCAGCATGGTGGCCCAGCTGCTGTTGGTGGGATGAGAGGATGGCCAAGGAATGGCTCTCCAACTCTCCTCCGTCTCCCTCTCACCCCAGACTCACCAGCAGGCGTGCAAGAGCGGTATTGAGGAGGAGGTGAGGGGCTTCCTCTGATAGGCGCCGAGCCAGCATGGTAGCACAGCTGCTGCCCTGGTGGGATGAGAGGAGAGAGAGAGAACGAGAGAGAACAAGAGAGAGAAGACAGGAGAAAAGATAGAATTTGAAGGACAACGAGCTCCACTGGTTGAAGCCATTGCAGCTCTTGTGGAACATGGCATGTCACGAAAAAAGGAAGAAAGAAAGAAAGGAAAAAAGTGAGGGGACGCGAAAAAAAAGACAATAGAAGATGCCTTAAAAAGGGGTGACTTGCCTCTTCTGCGGTTCGCGGGAAGATGGGATGTGAGATGACCGATCCCTGCTCCCCACCCTCAACCCGGGAATAGGTATAGAGCCATGACTATTGATTCCTAACACAGGAGGTGACTTTTGAGTCGACTCAAGGGAACATGGGATGTGAGACGACCTATCCGGGAATAGGCGGACCAAATGACTATTGATTCTTGACAGGAATACCGATGCCTTTTGAGAATTCTCAAAAGTGATTCCCTAATGGTTCTTGACAGGAATACCGATGCCTTTTGAGAATTCTCAAAAGTGATTCCCTAATGGTTCTTGACAGGAATACGGATGTGAAGGTTCGAAAGAACCGACACAGTTTAAGTTGATAGACATTAGACCTCCGCAGCCCACCTGTTTACCATTGACAGCACCTTGACAGGAATACGGATGCCTCAGTGAAAAGCCACAGAAATGCTTGTAGAATCTTGAGACGTCTCAAAATGACTAATGCTTTTTTACAAAGTTAAAAAAGACACCTCAATGAAAAGCCAAAGAAATGCTTGTAAAATGGACAAAAAAAAGAACGAGGACGAAAAACGTTCAGACCATTGGAAAAAAGGAATGAAAACGGAGATAGCCGGACGGACAGTGTACACCTAGAATACAAACACTAACAATCTAATGACAGGAGAAATATTGAAATGGAAATAATGTTATTGACAACCATCAACTCCCCGAATCACTCCCATCCCTCCACACCACATGTGCCAGTCAGCCCACCCCACCCCACCCCATCCCATCCTATCCCATCCCATCCCATCCCATCCCATCCCATCCCATCCCATCCCATCCCATCCCATCCCATCCCATCCCATCCCATCCCATCCCATCGCATCGCATCCTATCCCATCCCATCCCATCCCACCCCACCCCATCCCACCCCACCCCATCAATGTCAAAACTCAGAGCTCAAAACCCATCAATACTCCTGTGCACAAGCTTTGCTTCTGACACTCACTGTTTCCCGGGGAATGATTTCCGCAACAGCTTTCTCCATGCCCTGCTGGCACAGGGGGTGAAGAGCGGTGAAGAGCGGTGCAGAGGGTCAGTGCGGGTACATGAAGGCATTTAGACAGGTGCAGAGAGATGAGAGGGTGGGGGAGACAGGGCGAAGAGAGAGAGGGTGAGGGAAAAGAGGAATTGGAAGGTGAGGTGGAAACGAAACGCCAGCATGGGGAGGACGAGGAGGCGGAGGGCAAAGAGGAGGCGGAGGGCAAAGAGGAGGCGGAGAGCAAGAGGAGGCGGAGGGCAAAGAGGAAGCGGAGAAGGAGGAACAGGAAGGGCAAGGAGAGAGGAGACGAACCTGTAACGAGTATGTAGTAGTGTCTACAACAAGTACGTACCAGTGTCATGAGCCAGTATCTATATAACGAGCCTGTGCGTACTAGTAGCGGGCATCTTGTTGTGGCCGCCCCTCTCCATGTGACTGTAACAAGTACATTCTCATGCTTATAACGAGTATCTACTAGGGCTTAAAATAAGCATCTATTGTAGGGCACCTAAAAAAATGTACGTTCTAAAGTCTACAACAAGTGTACAGTGTATTGTGTTTATAACGAGCACGTGTTCACTAGAGGGGTACCTGGATAGTAGCGGGCATCTTGTTGTGGCCGTACAGCACCACTTGCAGCCGCCCCTCCCCTTATGACTCTAACGAGTACGCACTAGTAATTAACAAGTAACTGTACTGTGTTTATAACGAGTAAGTATGCACTAGAGGGGTACCTCGATAGTAGCAGGCATCTTGTTGTGGCCGTACAGCACCACTTGCAGCCGCCCATCCCCATCTGACTATAACAAGCTATATTGACAACGAGTACGTACTAGTGCCTATAACGAGTACGAATCCTCTAGAGGGGTACCTCGATAGTAGCAGGCATCTTGTTGTGGCCGTACAGCACCACTTGCAGCCGCCCCTCTCCATGCAGCTTGCGCAGATCAACCTGCCACATGGGCGGACAGGAGGGTGGGGCGGGGTGGGGCAGGGTGGAGCAGGGTGGAGCAGGGTGGGAAGGGGACACAATTTGCACCACTTGCAGCCGCCCCTCCCCATGCAGCTTGCGCGGATCAACCTGCCAGACGGGAGGTCAGGGAAGGAGGGGTGGGTGAGGGATGGGAGGGTGAGGAATGGGATTATGGGAGGAAGGCGTGGTGAGGGATGGAAGGGTAGATGGTAACCTGGTAACCAGACAGAAAAATGGAAGTCCCCCTTCCTCGTGCGCACCAGAGAAAATGAGCCACCTCATGGTGACAGTTAACCTGGTAACCATACAGTAACCTGGTAACAAAAGCCTGTAAAAACAAGATCCTCTCACCCCATCAAGAAACAAAAACGCCTGTGTGTCCACCCCCATGGCTTCCAGCAGCCACTAATGCACTCTACGTGCTTAGATGGATGGATAGCCTGTGGTAACCTGGTAACCAGACAATCTCACCTCGCCAAGGAACAAGAGTGCCTGTGTGTCCACCCCCATGGCCTCCAGCAGCCAAGCACGTCGGTGCGAAGGTGGATAGCTGCTGCCTAATCGAGTAACCGGTAGCAAGAATCGCTCACCTCATCTCAGAACAAGAGTGCCTGTGTGTCCACGCCCATGGCCTGCAGCACTGATGACCACTGGTGGTAACCCCGTAACAAAAGTCTTGTTCCCACCTCATCTAAGAAGAGAAGCGCCTGTGTGTCCACGCCCATGGCCTCCAGCAGCCACTTATGCACTGTAGGTGCTCAGATGCATACCCAATTCCAGTGGTAACCAGGTAACCAAACCGACTCACCTCGTCCAGGAAGAGGAGCGCCTGTGTGTCCACGCCCATGGCTTGCAGCAGCCATGCCGCGTCGGTGCGGAGGTGAAAGTCCGCTCGGCTCGTGTGCACCAGCGGAAACAGACAAAGCCCCGCCGCCCGCGCGCTGGGCGGCTCTGAATGGTCCAGGAAGAAGGAGTAGACGATGGCTGAGACGATCGCGTCCAGGTCTGGTGGAAGGTAATGTGAGAGGAGAGGAAGAGGAGAGGGCAGGGGGGGAACGGGTTGGAGAATAGCATGTGGGCATGGAGTGTGCTGGGCGGCTCTGAATGGTCGAGGAAGGAGGAGACGATGGCTGAGACGATCGCGTCCAGATCTGGTGGATGTGTGGGGAGGGGTTGTGAATGATGAAATGGGGTTGAGGGGAAGGGAGTGGGAGGGGTGAGCAGAACTTGCTGGCTCTGAGTGGTCCAGGAAGGAGTAGACGATGGCTGAGACGATCGCGTCCAGATCTGGTGGAAAAGGGGAAGGTGGAGGGGAGAAGGAGTGGGGAGATGGGAGAGGAGTGGGATGGGGGGGAGGGAGGAGAAGAACCGGTCGGCTGTGAATGGACCAGGAAAAATGCGTACACGCTGGCTGAGAGGATCCCGCCTTAAGTGTCCTCCTCATAATCCTCATCCCCCCATCCCCTTCATTTTTCCCTTTCCTCATCTCACACTCTCCTTCAACCCATCTCACCCGCGTGCTCACTGCCAATCACCACTTTGAACAGCCACCGAACAATTTCTGAGTCGACTAAGATTTCGCTCCACTTGTTCCCCCATCATCCTCTTCATCCTTCCCTTCTCTTTATTTCACCCTCCCATTCCCCCTGTCTCACCCGCGTGCTCGCTGCCAATCACCACTTTGAACAGCCACCGAACCGGCTCCTCAGACGCGCTCCCGAACCTCAAGTCCAGCTCCGGCGCAGGCACGGAACCGCCCTCCGCCTTGCCTTCACCCGCACCAGCCAGCGACGGCGCCACAGAGTCAATGCAGCGTCGCCCACGTCGCAGAAACTCGTTGATTTCGCCCACACCAGGGCAAATTTCGGCAGCTGCTCTTTCCCCCGAATTATTGCCAGCAGCTGGATTCGAACCCGCGGGCACAGCCGCGTCAGCTGCTTCTAGCAGGCGCTCGCGAGCAACGTTGGCGTAGAAAGCAGCAGCGGAGCCGATCAGCTTGCCTGACGCAGCAGCATCGGCGGCCTGATGGTCAACGCAGTGGGGGCCAGGAAATTGGAGATAAGAAAGGACGTTAGCCATGCGTGTTATCACATGAGATCAGTGGATCTTGGCGTAGAAAGCAGCAGCGGAGCCGATCAGCTTGCCTGACACAGAAGCATCGGCGACCTGGTGGTCAGAGCAGGGAGATCAAAAAGGAGAGACAGGCAAGCAGAGGGAGCAAAAGAGGGATAGGCAAGGGGAGGTACACAAGAGAATAATTCTGCTGCCTTTCCAAATCACATCAGAGATTCTGGAGTACGAGTCAGGCGAAGCCATAAGGAGCAACATCGCGAAAGTCTGAAGTAGGCCTGAACTGACACACACGGGAATCTGACCTGAAAAAATCGCCTGCGATTCGGCATTCTGAAGTGGCCTTAACCAGCGACTCGGCGTCCTTGTAAAATGCGACTGCTCCTCCCAGGAACTTGAGCGGGTCGAAGCTCTTGGGAGCCGCGAGAGGAAGTAAGAGCCATAAATTCAACCTGAGATTAAGCAGAACCTTCGATATTTTACGGACCAACGAACCCTGCGAGTCGGCATCCTTGTAAAACGCGACTGCTCCTCCCAGGCCCTTGAGCGGATCGAAGCTCTTGGGAGCGGGCGGTTCCTCCTTCGTCGCCGATGAGAAACTAGCAAGCAATCAGGCAGACCGACTAACCTGCGAGTCGGCACCCTTGTAGTATGCGACGGCTCCTCCCAACCCCTTTAGCGGGTCGAAGCTCTTAGGAGCGGGCGGTTCCTCCTTCGCCGCCGGTTTCGACGCGATCCACGAGAACATGGCGACGGGTTTGATGAACCGTGCTTTCCGCGAACTCGGAGATTCGTTCGTCGCAGGTCGTTCGTCGCAGGTCGTTCGTTCTGCGAAGCGATGGAAATACACGAAGCTTAACTGCACCGTACGGTCCGCGATATCGGGAGGTGGAGAGGAAGGAACCGTCCGCAATGCCGCTTGGGAGTATGTAAGAAATTGCTTCAGCAATGGCGATAAGATCGCAACGGCGCGCCACTAAGAAACGCGTTACGAGGGCCCACGGAAAAATGAACCTGGTTCCCGTCTCCGTCAATGCTTCTGATTAGTTCCGCTGGCTTGTTATGACGTGACGGATCAGGAGGACTGGAATGAGAAAGGAGACTACAAAACCGTGCTCAAATATAGAAAGGAAATTGGACACTGAGAAAAGGAGACGGTGAAATCTGGAGGTCAGAGGAATTCGTAGACTACACAAATGTAACTTTCTGAAGGTTCAGAAGGTTATGGAGAGTTCAAGTAGACTTTGTGTTTCAGTACGGTTGTTGTGAGGACCAAAGGACAAGCCTGTCTCCTAAGCCGTATGCAGAGCTAATGGAATTCGAGAGCTTTATTGAGGGCAAGAGTGCGCTGTTGTAACATGTATCGCGCTTTCGCAAGAGGCAAATTAGCATCTGGCGACGGTAGTTACCAGCATTGATTTCGACCACATCTGTGCTGCGTTCTGCGGGCGCATCAGCTCTGATGCGCCCTAGGCTCGGCCTGATCCGCACATTGACAAATTGAGGTTCGGGAATGTGGTATTTGAAACTGAAAAATAGAGGTTCGGAAAATGGAGATTGAGGTTCGAGAAATCGGGCATTGGAGATTTCGAATTTCGGGCATGTCAAATCTCGATCTCAATTTTCCGAGGTATTCCATGGTGCTGAAGCTTCTTCGAAGCAGGGAAGCACGCACCGACGCCTTCCCCACGCACATGATGCACTGTTCAATTGCCCAATTCGAGCTGATGCGCGCATCATGCGTCTTCTGGGGGTTGCATCATGCGCGCATCAAGGAAGCGTCAGTTTGCTAGGGCGATGAATTTTTTCGGAAAGCGGCGACATGTAAATTTGTGGTTGCCAAAAAGACCGTTCTGCAGGCATTCGGGCTTGGTTTGCCTCGGCAGCCAAGCGCTTATCGCGAGCCTTGATAACCTTTCGGCTGGTTATCGAGGAAAGCTCCTGGAAAATTGGAAACAAATTGCAATGTACATTGATGCGGGCTAATGCGCCCGCAGAACGCAGCCCTTGTTCCCACCTCAGGTTCCACGCCCTGAGAGTAGTCCTGATTTGGTAGATGGGACTGCCAAAAGCAGAAAGGAGTAGAATATCACGGTTCCGAGTGGTGCGCTAGGGTTATGGAAACGATCCATGCTCTATAGTACACTTGATGTGCTTGACGGGGAGACGGTGTGACCGCAACGGTCGTGGAAACGAGGCGGGTCAGGCCGCGCCTCGTCAGATCCACCCCATTTCGGCGAGTCAGAATCAAGGTGGAATGTAACGAATTCTGAAATTTAACATTCCGAAATAGAAACAACAAATTTACATTTCAGTGAGGAGTACCTACATCAAGGCTCTCACTTCATGGATCACAAGCAGCTACATCCAGAATGCAACATGGTGAACAAAACAACGCTTGTATACTACTGTTCAATGAAGACCTTGAATTTTGCTGTCATTGCCTATGTTCCTCTCGTTCCATCTCCCTACTCACTTCCCGCTGCTCTCCACCAGGTACACCAGTGCAGCAGTTGCTCCCGGCCCCTTTGCCACGTGCTTGCTACCACTACTGCTCGTGTTGCTTCTCCTGCCCCTGCACATCCTGCTCCTTCCCTACCCTCTGCTGCTCCTCCTCCTCCGTCCCTACACTCTGCTGCCCCTCCTACTCCTTCCCTACAGCCTGCTGCCCCTCCTGCTCCTTCCCTACTCCTTGTTTGACCGCAGGGTGGCGGCAATTGGGGCAGAGCGGATGGTCTCCACCAGACACGCCAACCCATTGCTGATCTTTGTCTCCCTTGTCTCTAAAATCTTTCCATATATACACCGCCACGACCACCAGTAAAGCGGTGGCAAGTACAAAGTTCGAATTCACTACTATGTATGTTGCGACATACATGCTGAGACCCCTGCAGATAGAGTGAAAGGAAGAAAAGGGGTTTTAAAACCAGCAAAATTTGATTGGGTTCCGTACGCGCAGGCAGTTTGAAACGGCACTGCAGCAGCGAGAGAAGAAATGGGGGGCCATGGGCAGTGGCAACGGGAGTGCAACACGCATTAGCATGAGAAACTGCTCAAACTAGCAATGAGACGAAAAAATGAGGGCAGAACTAAGAGTCTGATGACGCAGGCCAAAACAACAACAAAATGGAGTGATGTTGGGAAATAACACAAGCCGAGGGACAAAGGAACAGCTCAGGGAAAAATGTTTGGATCAGCTCCATAAACTACACTTGAGAACCGAGCATGGTGATCAGTAGGGTAGTGAGAAATATGCAAGCAGAAGAAACCAAGGAACCGAGTAGGACAACAGCCACATGAAGTGGAAACAATTTTACAAAGAATCTGTAAGGAGCACTCGTGAGCACACAAACGCGTTGAATAGGAATACCATATTATGTAACAAGGAAGTAGAAGACAAGACAACGGAAAGGTGAGAGGAAAGGTGAGAGGAAAGGTGAGAGGTGGGGTGGGAAGCACTCCCCACTCAGACTTGGCCCTCGCCACAACTCCCGTGAGAGTAGCGAGAATATTAGGAGACCAGTGAGGCCGCGCGACAAACCTTGTCAACAGCTCTGAGAGCTCTGAAAGAGATATGGAGTGATGGGAGATAATGAAGACGATAGCAGCCGTGCCGGATATAAAAACGGCCGAAGGTGCGGAAAATGGTTAAGCGGTGGGAATAGAAAGATATCCGCGTCGTTGCAGCCATTCTCGATTCTTACAGACGTGTCCGCCTTGCCTTCACCGCATGCAAAAAAACTGGGTCCACTCCCTTGCCTTCTTAGAGACGTGTCCTCCTTGTTAGGGACCTCGTGGAAGCATGCAAAAGCTTCAGGTTTTATCGCAAAGATCCCGTCAACAAAGGGGCGCACGTTACGGCATGGCTAAACAAAAACGTTCGATTCGCTGCTAAACGCCACGTGGCTGCACGAATGCAGCAGTTATGGATGGCTCAGCAATAATCGATGGCTCTTGGTAGAAGTCGCAAGCGCAACAGTAAATAAATAGAATATGAGGGAAGACACATCTTCGCGAGCAAGGGAAAGGAAATCGGCTTCAGTGCATGACATGTGATGGAAGCACGGGACGAGAGTAGGGCGTGGAGGAAGGCGAGGAGAAAGCAAGAGAGCAAGGCGTAAGGCGATGAGACAAAACAAGAGCAAGGCGTTCAAGGCGACGAGACAGAAAGAGAGCGGCGACGAGACAGAACGAGAGCAAGGCGTGGAGGATGGCGGGAGAGAGCACGAGAATGAAAGGCGCAAGGCGAGAAGGTACGAGGGAAGGGAGTGGTGGAAGGTGGTCTGGAGGAGCTAGAGGTGTGGTGGTGTGGTATGTGTTCAGGTTGGAAGCGATAAGGGGTTTCTATCGCTAGGGGTTTCTATCACCTTGTCACTAACTCCCTCGTTCTAACAATAAAAGTTAATCGTAAGGAGGATAGGGATTCCCTCAGCTGAAACAGCACTGCCTGTTCTCTTCCATGGTTGAATCTGCTTTTACCGTACATTCAATGCCAACACAAACTACATGATAGAGAAATAGAAAGTAGCAGCAACTAAGATTTCACATCAGAGATAACCTATTTCGTTAACAACAGTACTATAGGGGCTCTTCAACAGGTAACCAAACCAAACCCTTAACCCCCGCTACTAATACTGCTGCCACTGCTGCCGCTGCTCTTCCCCCTGCTGTTGCTCCTGCGTCTCCTCCTGCTACAGCTCCTTCCCTACACCCTGTTCTCCATCAACAGCACCCCGCCACCGGTTCAGGCGGATGCTCTCCACCAGGTAAGCCAGCCCCTTCACCACGTGCTTGCGGCTGTACGGCTCACCTGTCTTGGCCAGCGCTGCAGCAGCTGCTGCTGCTGCTGCTGCTGCTTCTGATCTGGCCACTGCTCACTACCCCTACTTCTGCTGCTGCTGCTGCTTCTGCTGCTCCTGCTCCTTTCCACCCTCCTGCTGCCCCTCTGACGCAGCTACCTGTCCCTCTGAAGCCCGCCTGCGGTAGGGGCGCATGCTCTCCACCAGGTAAGCCAGCCCCTTCACCACGTGCTTGCGGCTGTACGGCTCGCCTGTCTTGGCCAGCGCTCTCCCCCGCCCGTCCAGCAGCACGTAGCACGGCACGTACTTGATGCTGTAATGCCCCACCTGTGGGTGTATTGCAAACAGGGGAAGTAGATATAGGGGATGAAGGACAGATGCCAGTTGCACATAAGGGTCTTCCCCACCCATCCATCAGCACGGCACGCACTTGATGCTGTAGTGTCTTACCTGTGGGTGCAAAAGGGGAGGTTTATAAAGGGGATGAAACACAATTGAAGATTGTACAAAAGACTCTCCCCCGCCCGTCCAGCAGCACGTAGTACAGCACGTACTTGATGCTGTAATGCCCTACCTGATCAGCGCAAAGCATTACAAACAAGGGGTTTTTAACCAATTTACCAAGAAAAAAAAAAAAAACCAAGAGCAGAGAGGGGGGCCAAAAGGTTCTTCCATCCATACTCCAAACCCTCCATACACATCTCATGGAATCGAGACTCTCTAATTTTTCTTCTACCCAACCACATTAAACCCTTCAAAACCCTAAACCCCCTTACCTCGGGCAACCATCGGCTGTTCTCCACGTCAGCAGGGACCACGTTGAGCCAGTCAGCGTTGCGTCGTGCCAGCTCAGCGGTGAGCTGGCTGAGCGACCGGCAGAGGCGGCAGCGGCGGGCGTAAAACTGGATAAGCGTGGCTCGTTTCCCGCTAGCTAAGGCTGCTGCTAGCTGCCTCTCCTCTGAATCAGGCCACTGGCAGCGGAATTTGGGGGAAATGGACGGAGAGAAATTACAGTTAGTCATGCAGCAAAGGTGACAGCGGCGGGCCTAGAACTGGACGAGTGTGGCTTGTTTGCTGCTGGCTAGCGCTGCTGCCAGCTGCCTCTCCGCTGCATCGGGCCACTGGCAAAGGGATGGGGGAAAACAATTAGAGAGGACAGAGTGAGAAAAACCAGTTGCGGCAACGCCGGGCGTGGAATTGAATGAGCGTGGCTTGCTTGCCGCTAGCTAGTGCTGCTGCCAGCTGCCTCTCCTCCGCGTCAGGCCACAGGTGGGAAAAAGGGGATTGGGGGAGCATACAGCAGAGGCGGCAGCAGCGGGCGTAGTACTGGATAAGGGTGGCTCGTTTGCCGCTGGCAAAGGCTGCTGCCAGCTGTCTCTCCATCAGGGAACTGGTGAGGAGGGAGGGGGGATGGGGAAGAAAATATACGGAAAAACAAGTGAGCACATTGCAAGGTGGCAGCGGCGGGCGTGACACTGGACGAGCGTGGCTCGCTTGCCACTGGCCAGAGCTGCTGCCAGCTGCCTCTCCTCCGCGTCAGGCCACTGGAAGGGGGGGCAGAAGAGGGGGCGGACGAGGAAGAAAAGGGTCATGACTCATGGGAAGAGAGCTGGCTGAGGGACCAGTAGAGGTGGCAGCGGCGCATTTTGAATTGACTCAAAAAGCCACCAGGAAGTGGGGAGGTTGGGGGGGGGGGGGGGGGGGACGTGGAACTGGATGAGTGTGGCTCGTTTGCTGCTGGCTAGGGCTGCTGCCAGCTCGTCTCACCCGGCGCAAGAGAGAGAGAGAGAGAGAGAAGAGAGAGAGAGAGAGAGAGAGAGAGAGAGAGAGAGAGAGAGAGAGAGAGAGAGAGAGAGAGAGAGAGAGAGAGTCGATGTGTGTGTAGTTTGAGGGATATGCTCTAGACCTCACGTTGCGCTTTCACGTTGCATGCCTGTATGACCTTGTACCAATCAATGAAAGGGCCATTAGAGAGAGAGAGAGAGAGAGAGAGAGAGAGAGAGAGAGAGAGAGAGAGAGAGAGAGAGAGAGAGAGAGAGAGAGAGAGAGGGTAGGCTTTGAGGCGACTCAAAAGTCACCTAGTGCCACTCACTCACTTGCGAAAGAGAGGCTAGGCTGCTACTCGGCTTGCCCGCACGTGATGAGTCTGTTTCTGAGTCGACTCAAAAACAGACTCATCACACGTCGATTCAAAAGTCACCTCACCTAGTGCCACCCACTCACACCTGCGAAAGAGAGGCTAGGCTGTTCTTCGGCTTTCTCGCACCAACACCATCTGCTGCTGCTCCCGTTCCAGAGGCGCTGACGTCACCATCAGAAACCCCAGTGCCATCAGAACCGTCGTTTTTCCCTTCCACAGACCGCTCACAGCTCGATCAATTGCCTGCCACGCAACCCGTCTCACTCACCTGCGAAAGAGAGGGTAGGCTGCTGCTCGACTTGCCCGCACCAGCACCATCCGCTGCTGTTCCCGTTCCAGTACCGCTGACGTCATCTTTCCTCCCCTTCCATAGACCCTTCATTGCTCGCCCGAGCTCCGCCACCTTCCTCGAAGCTTCCCTCAGCGGCATCTGCCAGGGTGGCGCGGCGCTAGAGTCGGCGTCGCCGGCTCCTCGACCAGCCGAGCCGCTGCTTCCAGCTTCGTCCACGTCAGCCGCGCCGCCATTCCGCCATTCGCGGTCCGGGGATTCGCTCTTAGTAAGTCCTTCAGTTCTCGAGGTAGATACTAAAGCGGGAGGGGGTTCTATACGCGCTAAGGGCAGACGCGATGAAAAAGAAGCTCGTATCACTCCGACGCGCCCCGCTGCTGCCGGCGCTATCCGCATTACGATGGCACCGTCCCCAAATGTGGCCTCTAGCGCCGCCGCATACCTTCCGCCTTCCGCCATCCTTCCGCCCTCCGCCCGATTGCCGCTGCGCTCCTCCGCAGTTCTAGAAAGCGGAACGAAGCTTCGGTTCCGATCTTGAAACCCCTTCCCCCACCCCTCCACAACCTCATCCATAATAGTTTTTCCCCGCGCTTTCCCCAACCGCGTTTGAATATTCTGATATAAGAACTCTTTCCCCCAACGCTCCACGTTCCCCGCGCCCTCGTTCCAAATCGCCGCTAGATTACGCGGATTTGTTGCGGGGAGCGACCCCTGACCCGCCGTGTTTCGCGGAGCCATGGCGCAAGCTACTCGCGGCCAGGCGTTACACGTTACTTTTCTAAAAACTCGGCCCTGAATCTAATCCTCAAACGCACCCAGAATTCTTTAACTGATTTGTTCTGCGGCCCGAAAGTACTTATGTTTGAAACTCGAAACCGCTCTCTCACAGTAGCCAATCCCACGGTCTATCGCCGTGAGATTAGGCGAGGAATTTAAAACGCGAATTTCGCTCCACTCCACGCGCATCATACGGACCGCAATAGGCTCGTGAAATTGGTCAGGTATCACTTTCAACTCCTGGCAACAGAAACGCGGGATTAGAACCAGGTGAACCATTAGAATCCATGGACCAGGTTCGTCAGGTGGAACCAGTTCGGATCAGCACATTTCTTCCCAAATCCCTTCCCAAGTTTCCCGGCGAGCTCACGAAGTACAGCAGATTAGGGTAACGTCGCAACACCACGCTTGCGACTTGTATCCTTCAACAAACAGGCTAGCAAACATACGCGAAACACTTCGCCTCTCGACTACGAAATGTCAAGCTGTCGCGAGGCCTCGAACCACCAACCGAGACCAGGACTCGATTCAACCACGAACCTGCGTTCCACAAAACACAGCCCCTCTGAGCTGCGAAAAGGAAACTAGGAACTGAATTAGCGAACTTAGGAAGCAACTTTTAGGGTTTCCGGGTTTCACGGATTAGGAGCCCCTTGGTTTAGGCCTCTCCCGTGTGACTTGCAGCTTGCTTCTAGGGGAGTCTCGCAGCGCGTTTGTAAAACAATGCGCAAATTTTGGTTTGCCTACTGATTAACGCCACAACAATCTAAAGTGTGACACTGCTGACGTGTTCCGCTCCGCAACAATCATGGCCACGTGTATATTTGTAGAAGCAGGAGTGCCACTTCCAGAACTTATCGCGGCCACGTGTTGTGGAAGGTTTCATTAACCTTAGTATCCGTTTTCGTAATGATCATAGAAATAATGTAAACAGCAAGCATGCGGAATCGCTCCTTCTCGTCTCGCGGCGACAACAGCGAATAAACACGAAATTCGACAATCAACACAATTCGCCGAACTATCCAAAGTCTCACTTCTCTAGTTACCCGGTTACTAACCAGTCAACACGCCATCTCGCGATGGAGGCAGCGGGCACGCGCAACCGCTCCTCCGCGCGTCACGGCGCGGCGGTGCCGTTCAGCGGAAGCGTGCGGCGATGGCGCAAGCAGTGGACCGCCGTGGGGCCCACCCGCCGCCTGCTCGTCCTCAGATGGACGCCACAACCCCCCCGACCATCAGGTACTCTTCCCCCACCAGGTATGCGCGCCCTCCGCCCACCAGGTATGTGCGCCCTCCGCCCACCAGGTATGCGCGCCCTCCGCCCACCAGGTATGCGCCCTCTTTTCCCTGCCGCCGCTCCCTCTTGTGCCCCTGGGGGAGTGCAGCACCACAGGACTGCAAGTCGAAGCAGTGCAGCGCCGTGGAAACCACTTTCGAGAATTCTCACCCGCCCACCCGCCGCCACCCACCCGCCGTGGAAACCACCTTCGAGAATTCTCACCCGCCCTCACCCACCCGCCGCCTGCTGCTGCTCTGATGGACGCTGCATTCCCCCCCCTGACCATCAAGTACAGCCGCCCTTGGCCCGCTGCTGCTCGGCCATGCAGACATGCAGCAGTGCAGCGCCCAGCAGTGCAGCGCTTGGGGGGGGGGGGGGGGGGCGCCTGCCCAGTGCCCACACCAGACGTGCTTTCCCTTGGTGCTGCCCTCAGTGTGATCTACTAATAACCTGTGAGCAGGGTGCTGTTCATTGGTGCTTGCTTCTCCCCGCCCAACAAGTACAAGGTGCTCTTCTTTGCTGCTTATTCTTTTTCTTGGGGAGGGGCAGGGAATAGCGGGGTGGCGGGTGGGGGAGGGGGGAGAAAGGGGGAGGGGGGAGGAGAGTGTTGGTGGTTTCATACAACCTCTGGGGTTGCTTGTTGCAAGTCTTAAAGCAGTCTTGACTCTCTAATGTTAACCTTCGATATTAAAAGCTGAATCTCACAAGAGAAGCCTGGAAACCTACTTATTGCTCCTCCTCGTCGTTTTTGCACCATCCCCATTTGTGGCCCCTTTTTCTGGTCGATCACAACCGTCCATTCAGATGCAAACTGCCTCGCGATTCGTCGGAAGCCAAAGTACATTCCGGTAAGAAATTTCTTCTATTAAATTTCCTTCATGAATTATGAAATTTCCTTCATAAAATTTCCTTTTTTATTTTCCTTTTTTGATAATTGGATGAACAAAGCATTTTGTTATCTCTTTGAACAAATTTCAAACTAGCAGTCGTCGCTTACCCTAACTCCCCTCATAATTTATGTGTGCATTTTTCTTGCCCATTTGAGTCGATTCAGAAGTCACCTTCTTTTTGCATATCTCTCCGATTTTTTTCAGGAGGTTCGGTTACTTGCCTTGCAATCGCCTGGGGGAGGGTCGAGAGGGGAAGCAGGGGCAGCAACGAGTATGGGGCTTGGAGGTCCAGTGAAGGTCACAACACAGGCACCGGGGCATGGGGTTGGGGGTGCTGGTGGGGGCGTAGGCATGCGTGGGGGAGCGGACGGGGATGGGGAGGAGAATGAGGAGGAAGAGGGTGGACAGGGGGTTGGGATGGCGATAGATGTTGATAAAGGGGAGGGAGGGGGAATGGGGAAAGGGGGAGAGGGGGAGGGAGAGGAGGAAGAGGAGGTGGAGGAGGAGGAGGAAGAGGAGGAGGAGGAGGAGGAGGAGGACGAGGAGGAGGAGGAGGAGGAGGAGGAGGAAGGGGGAGGGGGAGGGTGAGGAACAGGAAGGGGAAGAGGAGGAGGAAGAGGAGGAAGAGGAGGAGGAGGTGGGTGTGGAGGGTTCAACTCCGATGATTGATGATACAGAGGCAGAAGAGGAAGCAGAGGAGGTGGAAGAGGAAAATGAGGGGGAGGAGGGAGATGAGGGGGAGGAGGGAGATGAGGGGGAGGAGGGAGATGAGGGGGAGGAGGGAGAGGAGGAAGATGGGGGAGAAGAGAAGAATGAGGGTGAGGGAGGGGAAGGGGGTTTAGAAGGAGATGGAAGAGGGGATGGAGAGGAGAACGAGGAAGAGGGGAATGGAGATGAGGAAGAGGAGGAGGAAGAGGAGTTAGAGGGAGGAGGAGGAGGAGGAGGGGAATGCACACAAGGGTGGGGAGGGAGATGAGAGAGGAGACGAGGAGGGAGGGGATGAGGAGGAAGAGGAAGGGGGGATGGAGGAGATAGAGGAGCAAATAGGTGATGATGGGATGGGGGGGGCTGAAGAGGCTGGGAATGATGAGTATGAGGGAGAGGAGGGTGGGGACGAAGAGGAGGAGGAAGGGGATGGGGAGGAGGGGAGGTGGGAGAGGGGGAAGAGGAAGAGGAGAGAGGGGGGTGAGGAGGAAGAGGGGGAGGGAGAGGAGGGAGATGGGGAGGGAGATGAGGAGGGGGAAGGTGAAGACGAATGACATGTGCAAGGAGGTGACTTTTGAATCAACTCGAATGGGAGATGGGGAGGGAGAGGAAGGGCATGTGCAAGGAGGTGACTTTTGAATCAACTCGAATGGGAGATGGGGAGGGAGAGAGGAAGGGCATGTGCAAGGAGGTGACTTTTGAATCAACTCGAATGGGAGATGGGGAGGGAGAGGAAGGGCATGTGCAAGGAGGTGACTTTTGAATCAACTCGAATGGGAGATGGGGAGGGAGAGGAAGGGCATGTGCAAGGAGGTGACTTTTGAATCAACTCGAATGGGAGATGGGGAGGGAGAGGAAGGGCATGTGCAAGGAGGTGACTTCTGAATCAACTCGAATGGGAGATGGGGAGGGAGAAGAAGGGCATGTGCAAGGAGGTGACTTTTGAATCAACTCGAATGGGAGATGGGGAGGGAGAGGAAGGGCATGTGCAAGGAGGTGACTTTTGAATCAACTCGAATGGGAGATGGGGAGGGAGAGGAAGGGCATGTGCAAGGAGGTGACTTTTGAATCAACTCGAATGGGAGATGGGGAGGGAGAGGAAGGGCCTGTGCAAGGAGGGGGAGCAAGTAGCAATGAAAATGGTGTTATGGATGGTGATATGGATGTTGATATGGATGGTGATATGGATGGTGATATGGATGGTGATATGGATGGTGATGTGGATGGTGATATGGATGGTGTTATGGATGGTGATATGGATGGTGATATGGATGGTGATATGGATGGTGATATGGATGGTGATGTGGATGGTGATATGGATGGTGATATGGATGGTGATGTGGATGGTGATATGGATGGTGTTATGGATGGTGATATGGATGGTGATATGGATGGTGATATGGATGGTGATATGGATGGTGATGTGGATGGTGATATGGATGGTGTTATGGGTGGTGATATGGATGGTGATATGGATGGTGATGTGGATGGTGATATGGATGGTGATGTGGATGGTGATATGGATGGTGATATGGATGGTGATGTGGATGGTGATATGGATGGTGATGTGGATGGTGATATGGATGGTGTTATGGATGGTGATATGGATGGTGATATGGATGGTGATATGGATGGTGATGTGGATGGTGATATGGATGGTGTTATGGATGGTGATATGGATGGTGATGTGGATGGTGATGTGGATGTTGCTGACGGTGATGATGGGTAACGTGTGATTGATTGGAGGAGTAGCAGGAGGCGGCCTGCATCAAGCAGCTTTCAGTACTAGCATGTTTTATCCTTAGTGTTCCCTGCGTGTCACACACTACAGTATGCACGCGCGCAGTAGATACAGGAAGTTTCCAGTAAATATGTCCATATATGTCCATTATCTAGTGTTCATTACGGTAACGTCCCTTGATTAAAGTTGAGGGACCCCTTGATTGCTGGATGCCTTAAAATTCAACAATCCGAGGGCTGAGATTCATCGACAACTCTTGGCAGTTGCCAGATTGGGTTAGGCCCAAAAAAGGAATTACATGTGGTCGGTTACATGTGGTCGGTTTTGTAGCGATCAGAAGTTAATCGTTGCCAGGATCTACTCGGGAAGGTTCGCACACAGAGAAAATGAAGTTGGTGGGCCCTTGACCTCAATAGCAGAGTGAATGTAAAATGCTTGAGATGAATAAAACATGCAAATACAACAAATATAAATATGAGTACAGGGAAGACGAAGCGACATAGCTAGCCATGTACTCTAAGGGGTACATTCCCTTATTTGAATTCATTCCCAACCGTGCGGCGCGTACAGTTGCGAAACTGTTCCCGCCGAAACCATCCTGCCTGCAGCTGCCCGATGCCATTTACTCCGACGGTCCAGATGCCCTTCAACCGTCTGGCGCTTCGAGTCAACCCTAACTCTTCGTGTTCGCTCTCGATACTGCATGCTTCCTTTTGCTGCGGTGAGGAGTGCACAGTAAGAAACAAACATTACTATTCGTAACAACCCCCTTCACTCCTGGCCGTAGCTCGACTTGACCTGCTTGACCACGCCGCTGAGTTCGGAGCAGTGCTGGTACTGCTGGCGTGGCAGTGGCTTGGTGAGGAAATCTGCTGCCATATCACCGGTTGGGCAATAAGTCAAGTTGACCTTGCCCTTGTCCACCTCGTCCTTCACGAAGAAATACCGCAGCGCAATGTGCTTGGTGCGGTTAACGAAACCAGGTTTGTTCGCGATCCGAATCGCGCTCTGGTTGTCGCAGTGAAGACGAAAGGTGGGCGAAGTTGGAATGTTCGCCTCCTGCAGGAGTTCCTGCAAGTAGAGTCCTTCGCGAACTGCTGCGGTTGCTGCGATAAATTCCGCTTCGGCTGATGACAGGGCAACCAGCTCCTGCTTCTGCGAGTTCCAGGAGATTGGTCCCGTTGGTTCGAGTCGGAACAGGAAGCCAGTCCTGGACCGTCGATTGTCGGGATCTGCTGCATGATCGGCATCCACGTAGCCGATGAGATTGAAGGATGGGGTTGGTGCAGTTGAGTAGCACAACCCAATCTTGGGCGTCGAGACGAAGAATTGCAGTGCGCGCTGCAGGTCCAGAAGATTCTCAGCCATTGGTTTGCGTGAGTACTGGGCCAGCTGGCTTGCGATGTAGGAGAGATCTGGCCTGCAGGTGACAGAGGCGAAGAGGAGGCATCCCAACTGCTGCTGGTAAGTCTGAATTCCAGCAGGGGATAGGGCTTTGTTGTCAGGTTTGTGGTTCGGTCCAGGGGTTCGGTAGGGAGTTGAGAGAGGTGCAGGTGAAATGTTGAACCGCTTCCCTAGCTCCTCTGCGTACTTAGCCGCTGAGAGGTGAATGGCCTCAGGCGCGTAGGAGATGTTGAGGCCTAAGAACTGCTTCACCTCATAGTTGCATGTGATGTCGACGCGCCCCGCCAAGGCTTTCTCGAACTGCTCGAGTAGCTCGTTGTTTGAGCCTGTGTAGAGCAGGTCGTCGACGTAAACCGTGAGAAGAATGTATTCGCCCCGGGAGTCGCGGCGGTACATCCCTGGATCGTGCGGCATCTGCTTGAATCCGATTTCAAGCAGGATGTTGTGTAGATACTGCTGCCACAGCCTCGGCGCCTGCTTGATCCCGTAGAGTGACTTGCGCAGTTGGCACACGCGCGAGTCCCCTTCACCGTATGTATGCGGCTGCTCCACGTAAATCACGGCGTCTACTAGCGCGTATAAGAACGCGTTCTTGACGTCGATCTGGCGGAGAGGTAGGTGCCTTGCAGCTGCGATGGCGAGCAGGATTCGAACGGAGGTATGACGGCTGACTGGAGCAAACGTCTGGTCGAAGTCAATCCCGTGCCTCTGGTCGTAGCCGCGCACCACCCAGCGCACCTTGAAGCGCTCGATCGTTCCGTCCGCTGCGGTCTTCACGCGGAAGACCCACTTGCCCGAGAGGATTCTTGCGCCTTTGATTGCCGCGCGGTCGACTAACACCCAGGTGTCTCGGGACTCGAGCGCTTTGATCTCTGCGATCATCGCCTCGCGCCACTCCTTGCTGTGCGGTCCAAAGAGAGCTTCGCGCGGGTTTCCAGGCTCGATGACTCGTGGCGCTTTCGAGGTTGCAGTGTGAAGCCCGAGTAGCTGCAGTCCTGAGACAGTGCTGTCGTGGCGACGTTGCGGGATGACTTCCTGCACATCGTCGTCATCGCTCTCTGGTTCGGGTGGCGCTGGTGGTGCTGTTGCTCTGCCGCTTCCGCCTGTTCCGCCCATTCCTCCTCCTGAGGAATCGTCGTCGTCGTAGTTTTTGCGCCGATCCTCCCCTGAACTCGCCTCTTATATCCTGCTCAAGTATTGCTGCAGCGGCTTCGTCTTCGGGCGTTGCGTAGCTGTGCCCATCGTTCGCGTAAACGCGATTCGCGTTCGTTTCCTCGTCGTGACGGAATTGGTCGAGGAAGAGGCGCTCGTAGAAGATTACGTCGCGAGCGTGGGCGGTTTTCTGACTGAGGAGGTCCAGCACGATCCACGCTTTGTACTCGTGGCTGATGCCGAGGTGGATTCCCCAGCGCGCGCGACTGGCGAATTTGCCGATGGTTGATGTCGGCGGGCGCACCTGCATCATGCACCCCCACACGCGGAGCATGGAGGTATCCCCCTTGGTCCCGGTCCATTTGACGTGCGGGGAGAGATTCCCGGTGATTGCAGTGGTTGAAAGCAGGTTGTGCACCCGCACGGCGTGGTGCATCGCGTAGGTCCAGTAAATCGGCGGCAGCTTTGACTGCTTCATCAGCGCCCGCACCTTTGTCATCAGTGTGCGGTTCGTCCGCTCGGCTACGCCCTGCTGCTGGTGTGCAAAGGGTAGAGAGATGTGATGTTCGATCCCCTTTTGCGCCAGGTAAGTCTGCATCTGGTTGCTCCTGAACTCTGCTGCGCCGTCAGATTGCCAAATTTTCAGCTTCTTCCCGGATTGCCACTGCGCATGCGCCAACCAGAGGCGGAACACCTCGTAGGCTCTGTCGCGAGTTTCCACGTTCGCGACCCACACATAGCGTGTTCCAGCGTCGATGAAGGTGAGTGTGTATAGCTCGTCGTCGACCCCGCAGTGCCCCACGTTGAGAAAATCGCTGTACACTTTGTGCAGCTTGGGGTAGCGGTTCGTTCCTGGCTCGAGCAGCGGGAACGGTTGGTGGCTTAGCGCAGCTTCGGGGCAGACGGTGCAGTTGCGCGGATGTGTCGCGCCTCTCACTTCGCTGCCACATGGGCGCATGAGCGCTCCAGGAGCGAAGACGCCTGCGTCGATGCAGTTTTTCAGTGTTGCGCGTGAGGGATGTCCGAGGCGCTGGTGCCAAAGTGCATCGTCGGCGCGAAAGCCGGAGGTGCGCATGTAGCGCGCGCGGGCTTCCTCAGGGTCTTCATCAGGTACGGGAGCAGGTTCTGCTGCTGCTTCCTCTGCATCTTCTTCTTCTGCCACGGTGTTTAGCATCAGCGCCAGAAACTCTCTGTCACGAATCTCAGAGAGTGGAATGTTGGTCCCGGGAATAATTCCGGGGACGAAAGTGGGTTCGCACGGTTCGGGAGCAGGTCCGTAGACGGTGCGGCGTGGAGTTGATGGTTCGTTGCCCCAGCGGATAGTGTCCCAGGGATCGCGGTGCGGCGGAATGTCAGGGGGAGGTGACGCGAGTGGGATATGGCGCGGGGGACGCCCGAGGGGAACAACTGCAGATTCTCCCCCATTTGTTCTTCGCGGGAAGTCTCCCAGCCTCCAGCAGAGGCGCCCCACCCACTCGTTTCGCCGCCAGATGCGGCGCCTCATCCGCCGGTTTCGGTTGCCCAGGTTCCGCCGCTGTTGCCCCATCTGCTGGTATCGGCCGTTCCCCATCCGCCGGCGCTCCCCCACCCCCCTTCATTGGAGGCGCTTTCTTCTGCTTCGGCGCCCCATGCGGCGCAAGCGAATGTTCCGCGTGCCTCGGCGAGGCTCTGTTGGCGAAGCTCTTCTGCTTCGCGGCGCGCCAATTCTTCCTCCTGTTCCACGGTGAGTTTTGCCGTGGGGTCGCGCCAATGGGGGTAAATCTGTAGAAAGTCTTCGCGGGTGTAGGGTCGTGGTACGCCACGCGCATCAAAGGTGCCGACGCCAGTTCCGCGTAGCATCCCTCGAAGGTGTTGAGAGGGGGGACCGATGAGAGGGTGCTCAGGCGTGCCGAACACGCCATGCGTGGTGACTTCAAGTTCCAATTGAGACATGCCTTCTTCTGGCGGCGCGTGGACTTCTGCTTCGGCGATGGCGGCCAGTCCGCGGCCGGCAACGGCGCTGGTTGACGTCGTCGGCGTGTGGCAATCCCTGCAGATGCCATCTGTGTCAGGGTCGTGCAGCGCCGTTTCGCGTGGGTGGGGATGGTGCGGCACCCACGGTCTTCCGTCAGGGTGCTTCCAGTCCCTGCGGTGGATGTGCTCGAAGCGTAGTGGCACGAGGTCGATTAACTCGCGCGAGTCGCCGCTGCAGTCGGGGATGTCGAAGTCCAGGACATACACTCCATTCTCGGAGTGTGCTCGTCCGATCTGCCTGCGGGGGAAGTTTCGGGACTCGTAGTGCAGCAGAATGTCGCGCGTCGCGCGATCCGTGCTGAGTTCGACGCCGCAGTCCATGAGTTGTGCGGCGGAGAGTAGGTTAAAGCGCAGGTTTTGGACGATCAGCACATCGTTGAGTGTGATGTGCGTGCGGCTTCCGCGTGCCTTGAGCACGA